AACATAGCATGCGCACAGTACATACACATTATAGACCATGCATGCACTCTAATGCATGTGACGCTGATATGTTAATCGCATGTGAACTCTTTGGACAGCGATACGTTCCATATTTTCTGAGTCTGAGTCCATTTTTAGTATCATTTGGTGATACTTTCGTTTTCAATCTTGTCGGAATTAACAATATAGTACCGTAATAGGCGTAACTTGTATAGTAAGCAGTTTACTACTCTTGGGCTCAGCGCTCATGACATGACATCGAGTGGCTGCCCGCCGGACCCGCCCGTCTAGCTAAACATCATTGGCAGGTTCAATCCGAGGTGAGGGTAAGAGCATAGAACTCATTAATTTTTCCATTGTAAAACAACCAATATCAAACTCAATAACAAACTAATCTACTTTTAAATTATTAGATCTCGGCTACGCGCTACTAACGTTAGGAAGATTAAGATTATACCAGAACTTCCAGAAGAGGAAACAATTTTTTTGTGTCTAGAGACGAGACTTTAGAGTATAAAGCAATAAGCGAGTTCGTAAATAGCTCTGGACCACATGACTCCAAAATATCCACAGATCTTAGACACGATGGATACTTCCCACCTGTGCATTTTAGAATGCACTGCCAAAGTGATGGAGGTGCTTCATGAATACCTTTTGTTTGCCTCTTGAGAAGAATACTTCCACCTGTGTATCAGATAAATGTACTGTTTGTGCATAAATGAATACTGATTACATACACTTTCATGAGCACGATCCGAGTATTCATCTCAATGGTTTTACAATTTGGGTACGAATGACCTTTATCTGCCCATGCCCAAATCCTAATATTAAGGCCTAGCTATGTCTGAAATAAAGTTAAAGTTATGCTCGATCTGTGTTTTTTATTTAGACTTTCCCTCCTTTTTTATGGACTAATGAATGGGTATATAGATCTAGAATAATTTACCAATTTAATTTGTGACATCCTAGATTGATTAAATAATTCACAAAGTCATGACTTTTTATATTTCATATGTCTCCTAGATCCCCTAATTTTTCTTTAAACAATTCCAAATTTTCTTGCATCTTTTATATCCTAGGAGCGTTAACCCAAGGCTGATCTATTTGTGGTGGAGAATATGTCACGAGTTGTTGGAACACGTGTGATCCGGGGACCAGATTGGAGATGGGGCGATCAAGACGGAGGAGAGAACCATCTTGGCACCATCACAGACATCATCCCAAACGACCCTGACAATGATAACGGTGATGAGGCACCAAGGGCAGTTAAGGTCATGTGGGACGTTGGCAAGAAAGCCAACTACCGGGTCGGGTTCGAGCAGATGTATGACCTCCGGATGTATGATAATTCACCCATGGGTAAGGAAGGCTTTGGGCAGGATTAAGGACATGGCTTTAAATTGATTTAAAGGGAGTGTGTCATGACGAGACTATGTGTCTTTCCCGTGGCCCTACCTGGGGCCAATCGGGTATGATACGACTACGGACGACGCGACCACAGCATTCACATGCATGCAACATACACGAAACCGAAGCTTGAGGAGAACTTTGGTCTGTTTCGCGAATGCTAACGCATGCTGATCCAGTTTAGTGTGCGCTGACCCAGTTAATCAAGTCCATTCGTTTACGTGCAGTTGTCCAAAAGAAGACGTAGATGGCCATGATACACTCCCTTTAATATCTAAAAAGTAGTCTTCCTATTTAACTTTTGAAGAAACTGCTAAACTCTTAGTTGAAAAGACGATCGGAAGAAAGAGTGACATCAGTGGAGAGAGTGATGTAAATTTGTTATGAAAGTACTCTTCTAGTCTACATGTATATGTTTGTTTTATTGGGTTTACAATTTCAAAATATAAAGAGAAAAAAAGAGGGAGAAGGATCGAGAGAGGAGAAGAAAGGAAGATTATAGGATCTCTTCCTGCATCTGTTTTGACGACACCATGTAGCTGAAAAAGACACCCTTTCAAAGCTTTTTCTGGACGCGGGTGTGTCATATTGGGAGTGACACCCCCCTGTCCCTGGCTAAAACTATGCTATACCACTCATACTGGCAATTTCTGATATCACTTTCTTTTGTAGGTGTACTCCACAAGTTTGTTCGTTGCATTGGATGTGCTTCAGATAACATTGCAGGAATCCGTTGGAGATGTACTCTATGCATACACTGCAACCTCTGCACCGAGTGCTACATGTCTGGCTCTCATGATACAGAGCATGAGTTTCTACGCATAGATGGACCTCAAGATCCTGGGTAGGAGGTTGCTTTTTGTACTAAAGTTCCATGCAGTATTGTACAATATATTTGGAAAGTGCTTTTCAAAAGTGATCAGCTATTAATTGTTTTAGATTTCAATACGTGTACCGTAACTAATTAGTTACTGTAATTAAAAAAAACTTACAGTGTGTTCCTACTCCTTTATACTCTCATTTAGGTATTGTGGCTGTAAAAGCTGATGTTTCGTACTCAAAGTTTGTCTGTTCCATCAAGTTTCTAGCACTATAGTATTATATAATCTACCACCTGTCTCACCATTTAATAGCAGTTATATTTGCTGAAGTTTGATTATTGTTATTATTAAGTAGTTGGCGTCACTTATGCCTGAGAGGCAAAAAGTGAACCGTATGACTGTAACTCTCGGGTCTCTTTCCCCTACTTTTAAATGTATAGTGTAGCGGTTTTGTAACCTGCAAAGGTGGTGACTCACCTAACTCCATTTAACATCCTATGTGAGGGACAGAATGTTGTTTCCACTGTAACATAGCCTGCATCTAAGTAACGGAAAGGGCGTGTTAACACAAAACGCAGGCTTTAGTCATCCTCCTGTGTTGGATTCGAACCCACAATCTTTAGTTCGACAGGCAGACGCTTTACTGACTAAGCCATCTCGCCTCCTAAATTTGAAAGAAATCACTATGAACCCATAAACATAACTGTCAGCGTGTCCACACACAAAACAATTTATCCCGAAACTCTATAACAAAACGTTGTATAAAGAATCATCATATAAATTCAAGGGTGTCCACACACAAGAAACGTCGTATGAAGAATCTTTGTATAAATTCCAGGGTATCCACACACACACAAGAAAGTAATCCCGAAACTCTACAGCAAACGTCGTATACCCAGTAAGTGCGCAGTTTGCTACTGCGGTCATGAAATAGAAGCGGAAATGAAAGGTCAGGTCTCCTTTCGCGCGAGGTCACGTTAAGCCCCGCCCAGTTATATCGTTCTAGTTCGACTAGTTATACTAGTTACGTCCACACAACACATTCCGTGATTAGGCGTGATTCTTTATACATCGTATAACAAAACGCAGATTTGGGCATCGTTTCATTATACGAAGGATCATATAAAGTAAGTGTCCACACACACAATTTCATCGTATAACTATCCCGAAACGGTATAACTAATCACGCCTAATCACGGAAAGTGTTGTGTGTGGACATGGGGTATATGGCAGCTCTAAAGATAAAATACATATGATGCAGGGGTAATTGTTTTTACCCAGCAAATGTTATTTTGTTTCAGTTTTGTTTTCTATTGATAAGTTCCTTTTCATCTTAATCCTCTGTTTGACACGTACCCCAGGGTTGTGGTCAAAGCAAGAAAAGAGAGCAAGAGTGTGACCTCTCATGGTATATTTGTTGGTGCCAAAGTCTGTAGGAGACCAGATGGGACTTCAGGCAATCAAGACGGTATGTTGAAGTTGAAGTTTGAAGTTTTATTTATTCCACATTTTACATAGAAAAACAGTTTATATTCTTTTCTTTTTTATACAGGCGTATATTATTATAAGAATAGATTTCAAATCAAATATATTATGTACGGAAAATAAGTACGAAACTTCGAAATATGTATATATAACAGGCTAGGTAGAACAATGTAAAATGTAGAGAGCCTAAATAAAAGACATAACTTGTATGTGAATAGGCTCCCATACTGAGTAACACAATATGTTGTCTACAGGCTTGAAATATATACTAGTAATAGGTAGTTACATGTATATGAGGAAATACATTGTAGTGTGCACTTTGAATTGATATCATTTGATAGTTCGTTCTTCCTGTTGGTTTTCTTCTAGCTGCTAGTAGTCTTCAACAGGCTATGCGTCCTATCACAAAGATTGCAAGTAGTGTGAGGTAGATAAATGAGGTTTAATGGAATGCGGGCATTGGTTACCTCAGGAAACCTCGGGAGGGATCTCTGGAAGTTTTACAGACTGCCAGCATGCACTACATTTGCTAACCTGTATTATACCATTCTCAACAAAGTAATGTTGAAATGTCGTACAGGTCCTTCATGCTATAATTTATACTTTTAAGCCCTCCCCATATGCTTAATTTCTAAATACAAATCCATTTTTTTTCATGGGGTTATAAACCATGAATGTTTATCTTATCAGGTGGGCGAAAGAGTGTAGGCACAGTGACTGATGTCTGTGATTGGTCAGAATGTTTCAAGAAGGGTGCTGCCATCGTCCAATGGAAGGAAGGTGCTTCGGTCAAATATCGAGTGGGACATGATGGGAAGGTTGAGCTCAAAGCTGTTGAGACTGCGGCTGGACTGGACTTCTATCAAGATCATCTTCCACTAATAGGTACACACTTTCTTACTTCCCTTTTGATCTCATTTAAAAAAGAATTATCACAATATTCATTCATTATATCATCTAATGGAATAAATGTGTAATATATATCTTAGGGATTGGTCTGAAAATACAAAAATAAGTTAGATTTGCTTGGTATATACTGCATTACCAGTATGAGACAGTTCTTAACAAGACGGCTTGTACCACCCATCCTGTTTTTAAATAATAATGGTGATTGTTATATTGATGATGATGATGATGATAATGATGATATTGTTGATAATGAAGATGATGGTATTGATCATTATATTTATGATGATTATGATGATGATTGGAATGATAAGAATGATGATGATGGTGATGATAATGATGCAGATTTTGATGATATTTACAATGATATTGATGAAGATGATGATGACATTGGTATTGATGATGATGATGATGATGATGATGTTGATGATAATGATGATGGTGGTGATAATGATGATGGTCATGATAAGGATGATATTGGTGATATAATGAGGATGATATATGATGATGGTCATGATGAGGATGATGATCGTCATATAATGATAATGATATAATGATGATGATGATGGTGGTGGTGATAATGAGGATGATAATGATCGTGATGATCGTGATATAGTGAGGATGATGATGATCATGATGATCGTGATATAGTGATGATAATGTGATAATGATGGTGGTGGGGATAATGAGGATGATGATGAAGAAGATGATGATGGTGATGATCGTGATATAATGAGGATGATATAATGATGATGGTAGTGGTGATAATGATCATGAAGATAATGATGATGATATAATGATGATGGTAGTGGTGATAATGATGATGATGATAATGATGATGATATAATGAGGATGGTCATGATGATGATGATGATAGTGATGATCTTAATGATGTTTCTCCTGATCTTCTTTGATTCCAAGGAGAAACAGAGACATGGAAGAAGGGAGGAAAGGTGATGATTGCCATGGATACAGAGATGCTCAACATTTTTCAAGAGGAAACGGGAGCGAATTGGGATAACAGTCTTATAGAGGTAAAGTTTCTAATTAATTTTTTCATATATGCTAGAGCGACATGAGCACTATACAAGAACCCACTATTATTATTATTATTATTATTATTATTATTATTATTACTGACATGGAATCAAGTTTATTACCCAGTATAAAAATAATAATAATAATTCCGCTTTTATATAGCGCTTTAAGAGGGGGGGGGGGGGGGGGCATAATGCCCCCCCTTACCGTACTAAGACCTGGCTTCTAAACACAATCTATGTTGTTATCTGAAATGCAATGCCCAGGGAACAGAAAACTGAACTGATAGTCCTGAGAACTACTTTCATATTTATTTTGTGGAGGATATAAATAAATCATGTCTCCCAATTTCTTTTGGAAATATAGTTCATCCAAACAGCAAAATAAGTGCAAGATAGCAAGGAGGAAATTCTGTATGTTTTGTATTTTGCAAATGGTCATCTAAATCTAAAATAACCACAATCATTTATGACAGCTGTTTCTTTCTAGATTCTTCTTAAATTTTTCCCCTTGACTGATTTCCAATCTTAGAAAATTGGAAGATCTGGTAGCGTAGAGGTCGTCGACCACAGGGGTTGGGTTCAAGTGATGTACGATGACAAGACCAAATGGACAATGCCGCCTTTCGCCCTGAAGAAGGTGACGTATCAGATATTTAAAAATACAAGGAAATTAAGTTTATGCAAACAGTTCTACAGTAGATATTTGTATCAAAAAAGAAAGAATTGCTGAGCTGGTCTTTAGCTCTTCAGCTGTTGTAGATGAAAAGCCCAGCTGTCACATTTTATGTAGGATATGTAAGATATCCATTGTAAGTGTAATAGAAGTAGATGTAGTAGTCCAGCGATTATCCAGTAGTCGACCAATGCCTTAAAAGCTACATGTACATATATTAATTTAGAAGCTGCTGATAATTTTCATGACCATTTTTCTATGAAGTTTGATAATGAGATTTTTCGATGTTTGTAAATTAGAAGTCAAAGAACAGCTTTGGGGTTCAAAATTAAAAATTTAAATTTTCAGAGTATTTTGAAAAAATGTATGGGCTTAAAGAATGAAAGCAGTATGACAATCAAGAAAGTTATTTTTAACAATGTTATGACTGCTACATGTGTGTATGTTGTGGTAATAGGTGGTGGACTTTAAAGCCGGAGATCGAGTCCGAATCAGTGCAAACATTGACATGGTCAAAGATTTACATCGCAAAAATGAGGAGAGAAATGATGCCATTGAATTGGTAAGTAAAAGTTCTGTATTGCTTTGATTTTCATTAAAGCAAGATATGATGGCATGATTTTATAAAGTACTTCTATATATATAACAAAGGATAGATTTGTTAAGAATATGAAATTTTGAGAAGAAATGAGGACCCGAGAGTCTATCAAATTCTATGTGAACGTAAATCTATGCTGTGGAAAATGTGATGTTGGTAGGTGGCGTGTGTTCCCTTTCTGTATCTTGTATTACACCAACCGATGAGTGAACATAGGAAGTATTGTTAGGTGTGCCTATGATTTTGTTTGTTTCCAAAACAGCACTGAATACAGATATATGAAAGCTATATTTGTTGCTATTCTTTAAATTTTGTAGAACCAATCATCTCTTTGTTTCCAAAATATCGCCCCTTTTATATGCACAAGTTTTGTCACAGGGTCTTTGTGTTGGGTTACTTCATCATTGCTTAATGAAGAATGGAGGGGCAATATACAATGAAACTTGTATATAAAGACCACTCAAGGGAGATAGTAAAAGTTTATTTGTTATACAGATGCTCTTTAAGGACAGATTCCTTTAATGCATGTTTCAATAGCATTTTTTGTACCAGTGGAACAAAAACTGGTACAACTGTATACAGATGGCCTTTGTATACAAGTGGAGGTTTCACTGTTATATCTTTGTATATATAGAAATGAAATACAGTAAAACCTGTCCTAGTGGCCATGTCTCTATAGAGGCCATGTATTTTTCTCGCTCAAGGAATAAATGTATGTGGTAAAACCTGTATAGGAAGGTCAGCTAGTACAGCGGACCTTTTCTCTGTCTCTCTTGGATGGCCTGAATGGTTTGACTATATCTAGATGTTTAGTCTTGTTTTTGCTTGCAGAGCAAAAAGGCAGGGCAGGAAGGTAGAGTCCTGGAGAGTACAGATGGCCGTGGCAGTGTGAAAGTAAAGGTCAAAGGTCAAACTCTAAAGTACCATCCCGCTGCCCTGATACTGCTTCCAAAACGAGATGGAGATGATGAAGAGGAAGACGAAGAGGAGGAGGAGAAGGTGGAGGAGAAGGTGGAGGATAAGAAGGAGGAGGAGGAGGAGAAGGTGGAGGTTAAGAAGGACAAGGAGGAGAAGGAAGATGGGGAGAAGAGGCATGATGATAAAAAGAAGAAAAGTGATGAAGAATATGAAAACATCATCACAAATGGTAAGAACAAGTTCTTTTTATTGTTGATTTTGCAAATTTTAATGGATATTTTTCCTACAGCTTCGACACCCAGAGCAGATACAGTTGTAGTAATTGGTTTAGAGATGTTTGTTATGATCGTGCAAACTGAATTACCGGCAAGGGCTTATTCAGGATTCACTAAAAGACAGGGGGAGGGGATAGATATCTAAATATTCTGTCTTATCAAGAATTGCGATTGATCTGAATCGAATCTTATACTTATATTCAGAGTTTCAAATGATATTAAACTCCACTTGGGTTGCAATTGATTAAAATCTTTCTAAGATAAGTACCACGACGTTCAATAAAAAGAGGATGTATGTATTGCCATGGACTCAGAGTGATCAGAAACAAGTCAATCAATCAATCATGAATATATTGCCCCTTCCAGCTCCGCAGGTCGGATCCAAACCAGTGCCAATTCCTGTACCTGCCGGTCCAGCTGACAAAGATGTTATGCATCGCTTGGTGGAGAAGATGACTGAGCAGCTGAAAGATGCCGGAGTATCAGAATTAGGTACTACCTCCGAAGAAAAGCAGATGGTCAAAGCTGTTGCAGCTGGAAATCTAGAGAAGGTCAAGGACCTTCTTAGGCAGAATCCTAAACTGGTAAAAAGGCTACTTGTATCTATCAATGAATTATTTAATTCTGATAATTATGTATAACAGGATGACAGTAACGAACTATAATAGAAAAGGTACATATAGTAGTAGTAGGTGCAGTTAAAGTGTTACTTATTCTATGTTCAATTTAGTCGGTGAAGCTTAAGATGAAGTATGATGTGCGCATTACCGACCCCATCCTTTACACCCAAGGTTTGACTGACATAGCCAAGCAAGCTGGGACGATGTCAGCGTAATCCTTAGGTGATACGTTTTAAAATCAGAGTCAGCTTCTTCTAGGTAGTTTGGAGAGCCGTGGCTACCAAGAGCCAGGCACACAGTCATGTATAAGAGTACATCATAGATATCCTCCTGTTGCTCTGTTCTCCAGCAATTTTAGAATGGCAAGGCAGCTGGTCTCGATGACATCAGTACACAACAGATCAGATATTTTGGGCACACTACACAGGAGTGACTCTCTCTGTTTAACAACTGCGTAACCTCTCCCAGCTTCCTAAAATCTGGCAGAAGGCCCGTGTGATTGCTATCCTCAAGCCAGGGAAAGACCTTAACGAAGCAAAGAGCTACAGACCAATCTCCCTCTTGTGCCACCTCTTCAAGCTCTTTGAGCGCCTCATCTTGAACAGACTGGGGCCAGTCACAGAACCATCACCATGACTGTCTACCTTGGAATTACTCTTAATGGAGTCCTCTCCTTCAAAATGTGAAGGGTATAGTCGGGACAAGAAACCAACCTACTAAGCAAACTGTTCTTGGGGTGCCAATTCCTCCACGCTGAGGTCAACTGCTACTCTACAGCAGAGTTTGCCTGCTCTGTATGGGAAAGATCATCCCATGCAAAGAAAGTTGATGCAGCACTAAACGACAGGTCCCAACACTATACTTCACTCTAATCCTAACCTTATATAAGTCTTGCTTTAAACCCAAACACAACTTTAACCGTCACTATATTTCTTCTACATGATAAAGCCTAGAGCAAATATTACTGGAGTGTACCATAGAAATATTGACCCATTCCTCTGTCAAATATTTATGTCATTTTTGCAATAGGCGAATGCAAGCCACAGCTCACGATCTGCTCTTCAGGTGGCATGCCACGAGGGATCCTTACCAATTGTACAACTCTTGGTAGATGCTCATGCTTCCCTTGAACATAAAGATGGAGACGGGGACACAGCTCTCACCTTCGCGGTCATCGGGTGAGTTTAGATGATGGTGATGGTGTTGATGGTACAAGTAAGATATCTTAGGGTCAGGCGCGGATCCGGGGGGGGGGGGGGGCCAAGCGGGCCTTGCCCCTCCCCCGGCCCCCCAGAAAATAAAAAGGAAAACAAAAAATTGTGACCAGAAAATTACCTTTGCTTTTTTTGTTTGAGGGGGGGTTATTTTTTTTAAATGCGCTCACTATCCAATTTGGGCCTCCCCCTTAGAAATCCTGAATCCGCGCCTGCTTAGGGCTAAGGGTAGTATATTCAGCCCCAGCTTTGAGCCTTGAGCCTTGACTTGATAATCCTTTCAGCCGCTTCTAGAAGTATAATTGATAGTGGTGGGATTAGCTCTGCTATAACGGCATACTAGTGTGTTAGTAATAGCATAATAGATTATTCTATTTTTGATATCTTTGATATACATTACGTACCAGAACCCCATTCGCACATGCACTTTCACTGCACCCACTTGATCAATTTCATGTGTACAATTATACAATTTAAGAGTTTGCCGCTATTCTCTCGAGGCCGCCATCGATTTCAAGCTAATTACCGCTCTTGATGGCATCTCCTGCGTTTTCTGTAATTTATTTATTTCCTTTGAAAAATAGAAAAAATATTTGTATTTATATGCATCTTATTTAATATACTTAAAAATCTATAATTATGTAAAATGAAGAAAAATTGTTACTTTATGTATATGATTATGTTCTATTTTGAAAATGCAGAAATAAAAACAAACAAACATACAAACAAATATCTCACTCTTTTCTCTCAGCAACAATCCATCAGTTGCAGAGTTTTTGATGGAGCGGAAGGCCTACGTGAATACATCCAACAAACGTAGACGGACTCCTATGCATATCAGTGCACACAAAGATCATAAATCATGTGTAGAGGCGCTTATCAAACATGGCGGCAGTGTCAATATGCAGGTATAGTAGGCCAGTCTTCTCTCTTTCCTTTTTTCTACTCTTTAATAGAGGTGTCGTGGTCGAGTGGATATGTCGATCACAAGGTCTGCGGTTCGAGTTCCGCCACGGCACTAGTGTCCTTTGGCAAGATATTGATCTACATTTGCCACACTCAACCCAGGTGATGTAAATGGGTACCTGGCAGGAATTAATTCCTTTAAATGCTAGAGCGCCGTATGGCAGCCGTGCTAAAGCCAGGGTAATAATCAGGAGCGCCAGGAGTGTCAAATCTGACAGACATGAGCACTATACAAGAACCCACTATTATTATTATTATTGTTAATTTGATGACACAAGTTTTCTACCACAGAGCATCTAGTGTTATTTTGATGCAAACACTATTTTGTGATGTCACAATTCATGAACACATTTAGAAATGAAAAAAGATAGACCAGTTTGCCCTCATCAAAAAATTACAAAAATGTTCATGTCATATGAAACATTTAGCCAGATAAAACTGTGTATGGCACTAAAAATGTCAAGCAATATAAGAAAAATACTCATTTAAAACAATTTGTACATTAATATTCAATCTTTTACTCAGGACAATGATGGTAATCTCCCTATCCACCTGGCAATCAAACAGAAGTCGACGTCCCTGGGGGCGCTCTTCATTGACCATCCATCTGCTGATCTGAGACTAAGAAATAATGATGCCTTTCCTCCTCTTCATTATGCTGCTAAAAGGAACTGCCTTGAGTATGTGATTCTCAGAATTTAAGTTTATTTTTATATTTTTTATCCTCCTCTGTTTCTTTGCCAATCTATTTTTCTATACGTACTGTACATGTGTTTATCTATCTATTATTATGTCGACTATATGCTGATAGTGTTTATATATTTGTTAATTTACCTTTATCTTACTAAAAGGATGTTTTAATTCTGCTATCGCCAATACACCCAAATGCATGCATGTGTGCCTATGTGATGTAATGCTGAGCCACTTTAATACGGCCCTCTTTTTTTTTTCTCACAAAAATTAGTGCAAAACGAGTTGATTTTTGTCTCATGGTATCGTACAGTGCTTCTATATGATTGTATATTCTTTAAACTGTTAAACGTCTGTTTTTTTTCCTCTGCTTATTCTTCTTCTTCCTACCAACACTTATAAGAATTTGTTTTGTATGAAGCAAGCATTCCAATTGCATCTATCTCTCTCACCCTCTCTCTCTCTTTTTCTGTCTCTGTCTCTGTCTCTGTCTCTCTCTCTATATATATATATATCTCTGTATATACATAAACATCTCCCTCTCTCTCTATTTTTCTATCTATCTCTCTCTTTCTCTTTCTCTCTCTCTCTCTCTTTCTCTCTATGTATGTATTTATATATCTGTCTCTCTCTCTCTCTCTCTCTATATATATATATCTCTCTCTCTTTTGTGTCAAAGCATTTGAGGAATAATGTACAAGTTATAAAATTATAATTACTTTGCCTTTTATTAAAGAACACACTAAAATTGTGGTATGCTAGGGAAGCATCTCAACATGAATTAAAACAACTGAGTCTGAAAATTTGCACATTCAAAACATGTACAATAACTCAATCAAATACTTTGTTGATATGAAACTATCATGTAAATCAATACTCCTTTCGTTGCTAGGATGGTGAAGTTGTTGGTTGCTAAGGACCCATCTCTTGCTACCATTGAGAAGGATGATCGCTATACACCTCTTCATGTTGCAGCTATTAACAATCATATCGATATTGTGCGTGTTCTGATTGAACTGGTGGGTATAAACTTTCCTTTAAAAATATAGATTATCAGTACATAGCAGATACAAATTGAGTTTGAAATAGTCTCAAACAGGGTGATTCTATTAAATAGTTCCTATAGGACATGTACCAATTGTACATTCATTTACTTGAAAAAACAGAAAAATTACTTATACGACCATCTATGGTATGACTAATATTTGGTTCTGGTATGAGCTTAAAAAGACAGATGCAACATTAAGGCTAGGAAGTGTTGTCATAATGTCCTTTGGAGTTGTCATTGTGTAGTGGTTCATTCACATAACTCTCAATCCAAGGTTTGAGGTTCAAATCTCAGCCCAGCACTTACGTCCTTTGGCAATATATTAATCCACATTTGCCACTCTCTACTAACTGGGTACCCGATATGCCAGAGCACTGCATATTTGGCCACAGGCTTTGATCGGGGCAATAATGTTAAAACATTGAAGTGTGACAAAAAAAGTATGTGCGCTATATATTTAGAAGCCATCGTCATCGTGATCTTCATCTTTGTACGTTTCCCAAAAGCTATGAAAATACATGTGTAGATGATCAGAGAGAAATGGCACACCATAGATAGTAGGGATGGTACACACTTGCGTGTATTGTGTAAATGACGACAGACTTAATAACAGCTGTAATATTTTGTCTTCCTTTTTACCTTTCTCTGAAAAAAGCCCAACTGTGACCTTACAACTATCAATGCCGGTCACGGTCACTCCACACCCCTCCACCTGGCCACCTGGCAGGGCTACACAGAGGTCATTGAACTTCTGGTCAGTCACAGAGCAGAGGTCAATGTCAAGGACAAGGATGGAGACACCATGTTGCATTTGACCGTCAAGAGGCGGGTGAGCGGCAAGAAATTCGTCCATGACACTCCAACATTACAAAAGGTATGTGAATGTGTGAGGTTTCTGACTGTCTCCTGAAGACTGTTTTTTTCTCCCCTTTCCCTTTTTTTATCCCGCTTCCGTTATTTTCCCCTACCCTTAATTCCACATCTCTGAGGGGAACATGAATGTGTGGCTTTTAGTGGGTAGAGCAGTGGTCTTTGTAAAAGTTGACCCGAGTTCTAGACAGAGCCAGAGTGCCAGATATATTGGGTTTACATACATACATACATACCGTTATTGGTATTTATTTAGCGCCTTTACATGAACATGCTCAAGGCGCTTTACATTTTAAAATACAAACATAATAGTTATATACTCTCCAAGTGCATTACACTTACATTTACGTATTCATTCTCACAAACTTAGAGCTACAGGTCCCCTACTGATTACTTACAGATATGCATAAAGTTTTATAGTATCTTAATTTATAAAATGCTGGTGAATTATGAAATCAAGCAATTTCTCTTCCTATCACTTGTATACTACCTATTCTTTCTGCAGTGTATATTACTTGCTTATAAGAACAACATTCTTTTTTGAGGGGGGGGGGGGGTGTTTCTACATTTTCTGTCTTTAAGGACATTGAAACATTGTAGATGTATTAAGTAAGGTTCAAATCCAGAGTATTATTACCATTATTATTATCCTTTGGAATGGTTTAAACATGTAGAATTCCATGGATACAGTGTATATACTCTAAACTGCATGCAAATACAAGTAAATTGCTTAAAGATTCTTTAAAGACCATTATCATTGCTATTTTTGTAGGTGTGTAAGGAGATAGGCGATCCAGCTATCACTACGCCCAGAGACGCCATCATCGCATACTTCATACGTCACGGCAGTGATGTCACAATCAAGAATAACAATGGCCACACCCCTTTCAATTTGTTGGAGAATGAACCGGTTCTATTGAATGCTTTGATGAGAGTAGCCGGAATCACTCCGTAAGATGATCTTCGTTTCATATCTTTTCATGATAGAGCATTATACAAACATTTAAGGAATTGAGAAAGGTAGTGGCAAGTAAATTACCCCAGATTTTAATTAAAAAGATGACAACATCTTGCAAATCAATTATTGCACTTTCTTCATCAAACTAGGATTCACATTAGCTAGTCAGTGCAGGTGTGCATCAGATATTCAAATTCTTTTTCTTAATTGTCCATGTGCAGAGGTGTCACAAGATAGTCGTTCATTCACTCAACACTCAATCCAAGGGTCAAGGGTTCAAATCCCAGCCCGGCACTTTTGGCACTCTCCACCAAGGTGTTAAATGCATGGGTACCCGGTAGGATGCGAAAGTCATTATAGTTTCCTGAGCACTGCTCAGCACTAATTTCACCTTAAATTTCACCTGCAAAGGGACAGCTTTAACAATGTACATGCTTGCACCCATGTCTGTTTTAGAAGGTGAAGGAGAAGCTATTCTTAGTCAGAGCTAGTACACAGTTCACTGTATTACATTTTGGATGGAACTAAAGTGGCAGTTAATTAGAGGAAAGTAAAATAATTTAAATGGCATATAGCATTGTGCATTAGGATTTTAATACTCATCTCATAGAATTGTAAAAAGATGTTGAAGTAAACCTTATTTCAGACATCATCATTTCCATTTAAAATAAGTTTCTTTCTTTTCATCTGTCTCAGAATCAATGAAATACCAATAGCAGCTGATGAAGCCGTAGACAAGACGAGGAAGGAGGAGAAAAAGAAGGATAAGGAAGAAAGGAGTCCCTCTGCTGAGAAAGCCCCCAAACCAGAAAAGAAACAAGGTATGCAGGTGCAAGATTTCTTATGAAATGTCTTTTTTTTAAGGAACTGAAGTCCATATTCATTTTCATGGTTATAGTGCCATCTTGATGTAAAGAACTTCAAAATATGAAAAACTATCATTGACAGAAACATATACAATATAGTTTGAAATAATTTGTTTTATTGTTGTATTAGATTCATGTGTTCACATTTGTCATGATGAGCTCTGTTTCATATACATGTACTGTGATACATTGTACTTTTCTGTCTCTATTATGTAATTTAAAAAAAAATTTTTCCGAGGAATCTTCAGGAAGTGATTAACATGTTTATCTGCTCATCAGTAGCCAGAATGGCATTAATTCATTCCACAAGGACACAGATAATATCCTTCTTGCTTGCAAGTTTAAATAGGGAAAAACCTGTCTGAACTACTGCAGGATTCCCTTCAGCTTGTGAAGATATCAGTCAAAACCTGAACATATGAACTCTCTTTATTTTCCTCCTTGATTTGCAGCTGATTTTGAGGGAGTGCACCGTATCAGCCCAGAGGAGCTGAAGTTAGGGAAAACGATCGGGCAGGGCGGCTTCGGGGAGGTGAAGAAAGCTATCTGGAGAGGTACCTGCGTGGCTGTCAAGATTATTTCCACGGCTGGTAGCAAGGAAGATGAGGTGGAGAAAGAGGTCTCTATTCATAAGTAAGTGACATATAATGAGGGAGGGAGATGGAGGAAGAGTAAAAGGGTGAAATCTTTCTCTTATAATATCAACTGTTGTTCCAATGAGACTACGCGTGGCTCCACATGAATGCATGTAGTACAGTAAGTTCACTTTGCTTACAACACTAATAATAATGATAATAATAATAACAATATTGAATATTTATATAGCGCACATATCCACCATGTAAGGTGCTCAAGGCGCTCAAATACTAACCTGGCTCTGCTAGGCTACCGATATCGGCGCTCCCAGCATTCAAGGTATTCCTTTGTACTGGTACCCTTTTAACACCTGGGTGGAGAGTGGCAAATGTAGATTAATGTCTCGCCAAAGGACATTAGAGCGTGAGGGAGAGATATATTTTGTTGTCTCTTTTTTCTTCAACAGGCGTGCTAGACATCCGAACATAGTCTCTTTGATGGCTGTTGGGCATCGAATTGGACAGGTCCTGATCGTCATGGAGTTTATCGATGGAATGGATCTCCATGATGTCATCTTCCGGAAAAAGGTATTTCATAAAGAAAAAATATCTATGTTACAGAAACAATAACAAGATCAGGAAGGACTTGACAACCCCAGTCATTTTGACGAGCAGGAAAATATATTTTTTCACTATTTTTCATATATTTTTTCGCTATTTCTTGATTTCTTGATGTAGTTTTTGGCTATTTTCCTAAAAAATAGTCAAAAAACTACACTATTTTTTGTATATTTTTTCCATTTTCCCCAACGAGGTGGCTATTTTTTGACTATTTTCATTAAAAAATAGCGAAAAAATAAACTATTTTTTAGCTATTTCTATTTTTTCACTATTTCCCCCAATTGTGTCTCTTTTTTATGAACTATTTTTAAACTATTTTTTCTTCTTTTAGATGTTTTGACTATTTTCCTGCTATTTTTGTACTTATCATAACATGTTAACCTATTTTTGTACTATTTGTTTGTCTTTTAAAAGTATTTCACTATTTTCCTGCTATTTTTTGCACTTAACATATTACATGTTAACTTATTTTATACTATTTTGTTCGTCTTTCAAAGTTTGTGCCTATTTTCCTGCTATTTTTTGCACTTGACAACATATGTTTACCTATTTTATACTATTTTTTCGTCTTTAAAAGTTATTCACTATTTTCTTGCTATTTTTTGCACTTAATATGTTAATCTATTTTTTCGTCTTCAAAAGTTAATCACTATTTTCCTGCTATTTTTTGCACTTACAGCAGAAAAAATGTTGACCTATTTTATACTATTTTTTGGTCTTCAAAAGTTAATCACTATTTTCCTGCTATTTTTTGCACTTCTTTTGGACTAATCAAATTATGTTTTTTGTTTTTCTGCTTATATTTTTCAACCATTGAGTGTGTTACTCCATTCCAATTATAACTGGCTCCAGTAAGGCTTTCATTGAGAAATGGGAAAAATAATCAAAAGCAAATTTATTTCTCATATCAAAACAATTTGTAGCTCAGTTGGTTAAGTATCTGGACATGTTTCGCAGGCGGTCGAGAAGAACATTTTTGTTACAAATTTCTGTAAGTCAAGGCACTCGGTCCTTATTTTTTAAAGAACAGGGAGCCGTTTTTTTTCCAGGACCAGCAGCCATTCCCAAAATTAATGAAAATACGTATTCTTTTCAATTATTTGTTAACTGTTATCTTTTATTTACTCATTGGTCTATCAGTATACTAAAAAGTAAACACTGCACAGCAGTGGTAGCACAGTACTCTCTGCCAAGGCATTGTTATACATAAAAATGAGCAAGAACTTAGAATAGAGATATAAGAACCTTTAACAAAAATTCCATGGCCACTATAATATAAGCGACTATGAATACGGCACTTTTAGTAAAACTACTTTATAGTCGTTACAGGGTGAGAATCCTGATCTAGCCACAGAGTTGAAAGAATCCTAAACATTGCCCCTACTGCCAGCCCTAGTCATCATTCCATGTGATAATATAAATTTTCAAAATATCAATTAATGTACATTATCATCACCAATTCACAATGTTTACTAAAAATGTGAGTTTGTATACAACATTGAATCATTAATGATTATGTGAGATCACTAACATGGAAAAACATATGATAATCACATAACTTTCCTTTCACAAGGCTAAAAGGTAATAGATACTCTCATTTTTGTTTTAAAGTAACATATGCTGGTTGACAACATTTATTTCTCAATTGTGTAAAGACAGAAGGGCAGTCTGCCCAAAAGTGATGGTACGATAGAAGAGGCTGCTGCAGTGTCAACACTCAACAGAATTACAGAAGCAGAACTATTGACAAGCCTTCACTATGCTGCTAGCAATTTGAAATAAAGTTATTTAACAAATTCATAACAGTGACTGTCGAGAGTATGCTTCATGGCAAACGTCCCGCCAGACTGAATAAGTTTAATGTGCAACAAATACATCATTTAACCTGACATCCATCCACACGCATACCTCTACAATCTTCAATATATTGATGACACAGGTTTCTTCTCTCTCTTTCTTTACCAATGAAATATTAGGATTATTTGCACCAGTACACTGATCAGTAGAGAGGAGTGTATTGCTCAGGGCAAATTTGGAAATAACAGTATGGTAGTATGCTGTTTTGCAAACACAATGATCGACTTGATCGTTTATACAAAATACCTCATTAGAAAATTCTGTAAAACATTTCAAAAAGTAATCAATGTGACCATAATTAATGCTAACATTTTACCTAAAACCAACGGTGCAACTGTTTCTTTTGATACCTGGTCTGTACTTCCGGGAGGTGATTATAGTACGCCATTTAATTTCAATCTCAAAACATATATAACTGTTTTATCTTACACCATGAATATTTGGCAAATTCACATCTTAATTTGAAAGCTTTAAAGTTAAACTACCAACAACAAAAATAGTAAAATACCATTCCTAATGGAATCATTTATCTGAAAGGATCTATACTCTGATGCATTCCAGAACTATTTTAGTGATACGTTTATCGACTTTGTCAATTGAATTAAATTAACATGCCTCTTTATAGTTTCATTCATCAAACATGATACATGACAACTGTTGATTCATCCTCCTTCTCATCACTATCAACATCCATTGCTCCGATATATGCAGATTGCTGCATAAAACTCCTTGACAGTTTCAAGGTAGGTGCGTGGTCCATGCATAGCAGTAGCTGCATGATTTTTCTCTTTAATGTTGATGGCTACTGCGTGCGAGCAAGAGCTTTTAATTAACATCCGTTTTGTACGCTGCTATGAATGCATCTTGTCTTGGAATCCTCTTAGAGAGAGCATGGAAGATGTCATCAATGCCCCCCCCCCCCCCCTCGTCAAGGATTGCTGCTTTACAAAGGCGTTGTGATGGATGACGGCATACAACGGCTGGCCGTTAACCTGAATTTGGATAAAAAGTAAAATTTAAATCAAAATCAGCAAAAGCAATATCCTGGTCAGAATGAATTTAATTTTGGATTAAAATCAAAGCTGATTTTGACCAGTGTGTTCCATGTCATGTCGCGTTCTATATGGCGATTGTATAGTTAAAACAAGAGTACACATGCTAGATGTATGCCAATCCAACTATCGTAGCTGTACCTGGACATATGACCAACAAATGAAAGAAGGAATTTTGAAAGTAATTCTTTAAGAAATTCTTTCCAGGTTTTTTTAGACCGAGTTATTTATTATTGCTTTTTCATAACTAATCTAGCAAAACATCATGCATTTCAAAACCATGCCAAATTTAAGCTGTAATAGCTAGCTTACAGCTCAGGTGAATGAAAACAAATGCAATATGGCTAGCAGTATTATTTTGAATTAAGAAAATCATGTTTAGTAAACCAGCAGTAGCACCATCGGTCATCAGCATCATGATGACTGCGCCAAATTAATAGAAATTATATTTTTGACTAGGATTAGGAAAAATGTCTCAATTTATGCTTTAAAAGGCTGCCGCTGACTATGGTTGATTCTTAGACTAATGAATGATTATATTAGATCATTTCATTGCCCCTAACATATATCTTATACTTAGTCTTACGTTAATACGTCTTATTAATATAGTCTAATAATCAAATCAGGTTTTTCTTCTTAGACTAGACCTAATCAGTGGTCTATTGATTCCAAAACAAACCTAATAATTCTTTAAAAAGGGCCTTTTTCATCTTGACACGATTCAATGTGTTTTCAATACATAGATTGTACGATTGATGAAACAGAAATGAAATCAGATAAAACAAAAATGAAATCAGAGGAAACAAAATGAAATCGCAATCCTAACATCAAATTACACACATGGGACTGACTTGGGCACAAACGAACTCACCTTCAGTAGTGCACTGTTTCTCCGCTCTTTTGCTTTGGATTTCATCCATTCTTCATTTTTCTGTCTTTTCCTGGAGATATTTGATATATCAGCAATAAGCTCATTAAATTCTTTCATCCATGATGAAAACGCCAGAAAATGAGGTATTTCGAGACGCGAATAGTACAGACGAATCGAGGTGGATATGTCGTTGAGCCTATATTTTGGAACCTAGGCGCGCTCGCTATATATAGGCTATGCGCGCGCGCAATACAAAGATCGTACGTACTTTGAATTTGAACGGTACGCAAAGACGTTTTAGATTGAACGTTCTCATCTAAAAAATCTAGAGATTAATCATTTGATTAGTTGCAGTTAAAAAAAAACTATCACTCATTGTGTTCGAAAAAAATAAAATCGTTATAAAACTTTTAAAATATTGGCATTTTTTCCCGAAAATACAAGAAACAAATACTTATCTGTGGTTTTATGTAAGTGTTGATGAACAACGCATGCGCCGTATTACCATAACATTAACGGTACAGCTAGCGGGAAGTTCAACTAACGAGTTACGATATCCTCATCAAATCATCCGAAGTCATTGAGATATAGGCCTATAGTTTTCCCCAAGAGAAGCGATTGATTATATGTGATTAATGTCTTCCAGTACTACAGTAGATTCTAATGATATTCCCGTGAACCGATCGCGAGCAAGCAAGAAACCAGCCAGATACAGCGATGATAAATTGAAGGTGAGCGCTCTGAGTCAGTATAGTACAGGAGCCAGGGGCAGGGGGGGTCAACCTAGCTGGGAAGGAAACCAATTTTCATGTGCACAGATGTAAATATCGCATACCTTCACATAACAAATTGACCGTCTGGCATGTTGTAAGTGGTGGGTGTGGCCAGGGGGACGCCCCCAACCAAAAAAGTGGCCCTTTTGACGACAAAATAGTATTTTGTAAATAATATTTTAAGGAAACCTTGAACCACCCTGAGTTTGGTGTCATATGAAAGAGAGTTAAATTATCTACATTTTGATATCAATTTTAAAGAATTTAGGATTAATTAACATCGCAAATTTAAGTAAAAAACATGATTTTTGTGATTTTTTTCGAAAAATTGAATTTTACCAAAAAACATTATTTTCCATATATCAAAATTGAAAAATTAATTTTTGTAATAATTTTCCAGGAATTTGCTTATGTACAACGACAATATCCTGTGCGAGGGAGAGGTTTATATATCATTTCTATAAAAAGTTATAGCAATCCAAAGTTATTGATTTGATTTCCACAAAAACAACATTTTTGCCCACATGTGTATTAACTGTATGCATATACGTGCATTAGTGTATTAAGGACCTGTTTGGTGTGTTTACATCGAGTTTTAAAGATAACTTTGAACTAAAACCTCTAATCACCATGTATTTGGTGTCAAAAGATGGATAATTAAAATACCTTCATTCTGATATCAATTTCAATGAGTGATGTAATGTGTGAAATATAAATTTTGAGCCAAAAAGGTGCTTTATTGTAGATATTCCTCTGATTTTGGCCAGTATATCGGTATATTACTGTAACTGGACAAAAGTGATAAGACATTTAGTGGTGCAGAAAATTCAAAGGATTTGGAGCACTGAGTGCAATTGATAAGGTTCTTCTTCTGTACTCTGGGATGTTTGAGGAAATGTGGACATTGGCAGTTGCCTCCTCCCCCCCACCCGGCACCCCGCCCCCTTCCAACCGCTTGTCATAATCTTGCCCATGCCCAAACAAGTTAGTGCATCGATCAACATGAATATAATATAATATTGCCATATTTGGTTAATGCCCTTGCCTCCCCCCCCACCCCCAACCCGCCCCCAAAAGGGGGGAGGAAGGGAAAGGGAAAGAGGAGAGCTAAAAGGGAACAAAAACAGGAAGAAGAAAAGAAAAGGGTGAAAAGAAGGGGGAACAGTTGTGATTAATCCCGCCAAAAACGTGTGGATCGAAGGGGGGAAGGCGAAAAACTCTTCCCCCCCCCATCAAACTTAAAACAGAGAGAAGAATGGGAAGTGAAAGGAAAAGAGTGGAGAAAGGGAAAGAAAAAAAAAGAGAAAAAAGAAAGGTAGGGGGGATCAGTTGCGATTTTCCCCGCCAACAAGGTGTAGATCGGGGGGGGGGGGCAGGGGGAGGGCCACTGGCGTACTAATGGGGGAGGGGGCTTGGGGGACACAGATCCTCCCAAGTATAATTTAAACATGGTTTATTTCTAATTCGCTACCGCTGATTTACAAATCTTGCTGAAATAAAGAAAAAAATCCGAAATTCGTACTCATTATGTAGTACATTATTATTTTTTATGCGTTTGTTGGAAAATGGCAAATTCCTAAAGAAAGAAAGAAAATATAATAACCTGCCTTTCTCACAAAATAATGAGGTGTCAAAATTTGTTCATCTGACCGTGAATAAATGCTTAAAAACCCCAGAGCTTTCGGGGGCTCTGCCCCCTGGATTTAGCCTAGTGCCCTAAGGCGGGCACCTGGATGTTCATCTGACTGTAATTCAATGCTTAAAACCCCTGAGCTTCTGGGGTCTCCGCCCCCTGGACCTCACGCCAATTAGTGTCCTGCCAGTGTCACAAATAAAGTATCAAAATTTGCACATCTGACGGTAATTTAATGTATAAAACCCCTGAACTTCTGTGGGTTCCGCCCCTTGGACCCCACACTCATTTGTGTCCTGCCAGTGTCACAAATAAAGTATCAAAATATGCTCATCTGACCGTAATTTATTGCCCCAAAACCCTAAGCTTCCGGGGGCTCCGCCCCTGGAACCCCACACCAATTCGTGACCTGCCAGTGTCACAAATAAGGTATCAAAATATGCTCATCTGACCTTAATGTATTTCCCAAAACCCCTAAGCTTCTGGGGGATCCACCCCTTGACCCCCGCCGCAACGTTCAGCGGGGCCTGCGTGTAAGAGTGGGGTGATGGGGATTTGTTTTTGGTCTACCCCTCCCCCTCCCCCAAACGTTTTTGCCACTGCCGGTGTCACCATTACGTACCAATATTTGGCTCGCATCATTTCAAATTTGCCCCCCTCCCCCCCCCCCCTAAGAAATCTTGGATCCGCACCTAGGGTATATAGCTCTTATTTTTTTTTAATATTATTCATATCAGGAAGGAGTGCTGGAAAGGGACGTTGAAAGTACAATTTGCCTTTCACATTAGTCAAGCAAGGTTTCTCTCAACAATCAATATCTATATGGCAGTCACTCCCCACCATTTAAATCGTCTGGCAATGGCCATTTGTGTATCGTTGACCTGTGGCGAATCTTTTCATATAGGTTCCATTTGGGTTTCCTTTAAAGCTGATCTAGCTCGATATTGAGGTTGGGGTATTTTAGGGACATCTGACAGACACCCCCACCAGGCGCGCCGGAAGCAGTTTGGCATTGGGGGGGGGGAGGGGGCAAACATTCCAGGGGCTCACCTTTCAGGGGCAGTGGTGTAATGAGCAAAAACGTTCTTGGGGGGGGGGGCAGAAGAAAAATCTGCACCACCACCACTCTTACACGGTACATGCCGGACCCGCTGAACGTTTTTCAAAGTAGAGTATTAACGATCAGGTAGAGCGGAGCAAGTGCAGCGTAAATTGAAATAGGGTCCAGGGGGCTGTGTCCCATGAAGCTCAGCGTTTAAGGCATTTAATTATGGTCAGATGAGCATCCAGGGACCCGTCTAAGGGCCCTTGGTGAGGTCCAGGGTGCGGAACCCACGAATGCTCAGGGGTTTTAGGTATTTAATTACGGTCAGAAGAGCATATTTTGATACCTCATTTGTGACACTGGCAGTTCACTCATTCTTTCTTTCTCTCTTTCTTTCTTTTTCTCTTTAACATACTTTTTTTTTAAAGTGAGGGGGTGCTCGAGCCCTACCCTTCTGCAGGCCCTGACATGAAGGCTTCTAAATAAGCATATTTTTTTGCCTAACTGTAAATTTGGGAGACATGTCATTTTCCAACAAAAGTATAATTTACCCCCCAAAATGAAAAAAATTCACAGGAAATCGTGTCATTTCAGCAACATGTTCAAAAAGACCATATTATTTATGCAACGGGCATGATAGAACTCTAATGTAGACGGTGGTGTGCTATCAAAATTATAAGCTTCTACCTTATGACATTTTCCAATCATCATATTGTGAGATCCTTAGAAGTTCAAGGAGTGAACGATTTTAAATTATTCATGGCTAAGCAGAAAAGATTTCAAATTGAAGTTGTCGAACCTTCTATTTGAAACACACAAAAAACTTAAACTGAGATTCAATCGAATCAAGTAGTTTCATAATGTTCCTTCAATTTTTGTACCAAATTACTTGAAATCGAGAGAAAAAATAACTTTGCATACCTAGCCGAAACTATTTTATGAGAAAAGTTTATGTCATTCTAATCTAATCACAATAGGAATTATGCGGATTATTGGTTGCTTACAAGCATACACGTGTTTTCTTAGTAGTCAGGCAAAATAAACCATTAAACCAAATATGGCAATAGTTGATCGATGCACTAACTTGGCTGGGGCATGGGCAAGATTATGACAAGCGGCTGGAAAGGGCGGGGTGGGGGGGGGGGGGGGGGGGGAGAGGCAACTGCCAATGCCCACATTTCCTCAAACAACAGAAGAAGAACTTATCAATTGCATATTTGATGTTGGAGAATTTGCCATTTTCCAACAAACGCATCAAAAATGATAATGTACTACATATTACGTAAAAATTTCGGATTTTTTTTCTTTATTTCAGCAACATTTGTAAATCAGCGGTATCGATTTAGAAATAAACCACGTTTGAATTATACTTGGGAGGATCTGTGTCCCCCAAGCCCCCTCCCCCATCAGTACGCCAGTGGCCCTCCCCCTGCCCCCCCCCCCCCGATCTACACCTTGTTGGCGGGGAAAATCGCAACTGATCCCCCCTACCTTTCTTTTTTCTTTTTTTTTCTTTCCCTTTCTCCACTCTTTTCCTTTCACTTCCCATTCTTCTCTCTGTTTTAAGTTTGATGGGGGGGGGGGGGGGGAAGAGTTTTTCGCCTTCCCCCCTTCGATCCACACGTTTTTGGCGGGATTAATCACAACTGTTCCCCCTTCTTTTCACCCTTTTCTTTTCTTCTTCCTGTTTTTGTTCCCTTTTAGCTCTCCTCTTTCCCTTTCCCTTCCTCCCCCCTTTTGGGGGCGGGTTGGGGGTGGGGGGGGGGGAGGCAAGGGCATTAACCAAATATGGCAATATTATATTATATTCATGTTGATCGATGCACTAACTTGTTTGGGCATGGGCAAGATTATGACAAGCGGTTGGAAGGGGGCGGGGTGCCGGGTGGGGGGAGGAGGCAACTGCCAATGTCCACATTTCCTCAAACATCCCAGAGTACAGAAGAAGAACCTTATCAATTGCACTCAGTGCTCCAAATCCTTTGAATTTTCTGCACCACTAAATGTCTTATCACTTTTGTCCAGTTACAGTAATATACCGATATACTGGCCAAAATCAGAGGAATATCTACAATAAAGCACTTTTTGGCTCAAAATTTATATTTCACACATTACATCACTCATTGAAATTGATATCAGAATGAAGGTATTTTAATTATCCATCTTTTGACACCAAATACATGGTGATTAGAGGTTTTAGTTCAAAGTTATCTTTAAAACTCGATGTAAACACACCAAACAGGTCCTTAATACACTAATGCACGTATATGCATACAGTTAATACACATGTGGGCAAAAATGTTGTTTTTGTGGAAATCAAATCAATAACTTTGGATTGCTATAACTTTTTATAGAAATGATATATAAACCTCTCCCTCGCACAGGATATTGTCGTTGTACATAAGCAAATTCCTGGAAAATTATTACAAAAATTAATTTTTCAATTTTGATATATGGAAAATAATGTTTTTTGGTAAAATTCAATTTTTCGAAAAAAATCACAAAAATCATGTTTTTTACTTAAATTTGCGATGTTAATTAATCCTAAATTCTTTAAAATTGATATCAAAATGTAGATAATTTAACTCTCTTTCATATGACACCAAACTCAGGGTGGTTCAAGGTTTCCTTAAAATATTATTTACAAAATACTATTTTGTCGTCAAAAGGGCCACTTTTTTGGTTGGGGGCGTCCCCCTGGCCACACCCACCACTTACAACATGCCAGACGGTCAATTTGTTATGGGAAGGTATGCGATATTTACATCTGTGCACATGAAAATTGGTTTCCTTCCCAGCTAGGTTGACCCCCCCTGGCTCCCGGTCTAGTAGTGAGTGAGTACCGGAGTGCATGCCGAGTGAGACGACCGTTGGTTGGCCGTTACGCAATACTGACTGAGTCTGAGTATTTTAAATCTAGAATTCTAGAATCTACGCTAAAAGTTGTTAGATGTGAAATCCATGGATACAGGTTCTAAAAATAAACCTAGGGATGATGTTTACTTTGAAATTGGGTGAGAAATAATGAAGATATTGCTCCATTTCATTCCGAAAAAACAGGAAGAAGCTGATTTGACAACAGAAATCCCCATTTTTAATTTTAATTTTTAATTTTAGAGTTGATGTTTATCAAATTTATAATTAAAATATGTTTTGTTGATATCATTGATAGGTTTATCACTCTACGTCATAATCGTATCACTCAGTTACTTATAAAAAAAAGTGTTAGGGCCTATCAGTATCACTATCAGCATGATCAGTATCAACATGATCAATAAATAAAAAATAATCGATCAGTCTGACTTTTTAAATTTTTAGTTGTCTAACTTTTATTTTAGACTTTTTTAATTACAGTTTCAGACCATCTAGTCTAAAGGCCCTACTGTTAGGCCTATGCTATAGATTTCTAATACTATGGGTCTAGATCTAGATCTACTTCCCATTCATCTATTTTGTAAAATAATTTTAATCATTTCTAGATCTAGAGTCTAGATTCTATTCTAAATCTATTCTAAGTTAATCTAAGGTCTAATTTTTTGTTTTCTTTTCTAGAATATGCACTCGTCATGTTCACAGTCACACTGGATAAGGTGAAGAGCTAGTGTAGAGCCTAGAGGTTGGTTTTGAGCATCAAAATTTGGACGGTGGCCGGAGGATGAGGATCGATGGATGGGAGGCCTACGATGAGGCTAACAAGAAGTGGTAGCTTGGCCTAAGCTTGAAATGACCCGTAAGTTATAGATTTGTATGCGTCCGCCCACCAAAGGTGGGTGCCGGAGGCAATAATGGCCCAAATTCACAAAGGATGTTTAAATTTCACCCATGGTTTAAACCCTCATTTACATAACCCATGGTTTAAAATTATCGCAATTTAAGCGTAGACTTGCGTGCGTCTAATAAATGGACCTACGACTGTGTCACGCTTATTGGGCTAAATTTAGACAATGTGTCATGTAAATGAAGATGTAAACCATGGGTTAAAATCAAACCTCCTTGTGTCTTTGTGAATTATTCGGGCCATTTTGTTTCGGGTTGCTGCATGCATGTCTGTCCGTCCGTCGTGTTTTCATTGTTGCAATAAATTAAGAAGCAATTGACGGATCAAATTCAAACCTGGCTCATGTATGTATTTATATTATGGGAGTGACGATGATCTGATTAGATTTGAGGTCACAAGGTCAAAGGTCATTGTATACATTAGAATAGAATGGTTCTTGCAATAACTTGGGAACCATTTGACAGATCAATTTAAAACTTGGCTCATGTATGCGTTTGCAAGTGACGATCTAATTAGATTTTGTCTTCAAGAGGTCAAAGGTCACAGAGGTATTTTTTTTAAGTCCTCATTCTTTCATGAAATTTCAATTTCACTTCTCAAATTCAAACTTGACACAAATACTATAATACAAATAATAGGCCTATGATCAATGATAAGTAAAACATAATTCCAAATGATTTAATTTAATTTTTTATATATCATTGATAATGATATGTATGTCATATCAGTTATCACATTCATCTTTAGTATCCCATTCATACATGCCTTTTTTCCAGGATATATTTTCTAAAATGATTTAAATCATATACATTTTTGTTTTCTTTTCTAGAATATGCACTCTTCGTGTTCAGTCACACTGGATAATGTGAAGAGGGTGGTTTTGAGCAGCGAGGTTCGGCAGGTGGCAGGAGGATGAAGATCGATGGATAGGAGGCGTACGATGAGGCTACAAAGAAGTGGTACTCTGTTGCCTTGCTTGAAAGGACCCGTAAGTTGCAGATTTTTTAATGTTGAATAATCGCCTATGTTGAAAATAAAACTCTTCTCCAGACTTAATTGCGACTTTAACTTAGTTTGCATGTCATCTAACAGGCCTTAAATTTCAATATTTTTAGGGCAATTATAAGGCCACTTTTCTGTAGGGCACATTCCTATATTACAGCACAAATAGGAATAGTTGGAAAGGGCACAAAAAATCTCCAAGGCCAATGAGAGGGGCATTGAGGCCAATCAAAAGGGCACCCACGGCCATGGCCTTGGATTAATTTAAGCCCTGATCTAAGTCTTTTACATGACTCTGTTACCTGTCAAGAAGCTCTTCTTTTATGGCTTTTTTATGGGCAGCATCCAGAGAACTTTACTATCATTCTATTTCTGAGCATCGTGTTGTTTGAGCCAACAGTAACATGTCATGCTGCTCTTGGCAATTCTGATAAGCATCACTAATAATTCTAAATATTTTTGTTCTGTTTATGTTTATATCTTTCAGCAATTCTTTGCGAGAAGATCGAAGGGGGCCGGACACAAATCAGCTGAATTGGCAGGCCCTGAGAGTAAAGATGGAGGGAATCAAATATAAGGCTAAAAACATGTTAATCTTCTACAGAACGCACAAAGTAGATTTCGACCAAACTTGGCAGGAGTCATCCCTTAAAAGTAAGGGGATCTTAATTTGTTCAAGTGGGGGGTGGTGCACCAGGGGGGGGGGGGGGGGGGAGGGCAGGAAAACAAAAAAAGCCAAATCAACATCATTGTCTTCTTGAAAAAGCATAATTGGTAGATTATTGTGTGGGAAGGGTATCTCAATTTACAGAAAAAATGATCAAAGTGCCCAGCTTGCAAAGCTGCATGCTCAGGTAAGCACAAGACCCACAGGTCTCTAGTCTATTACTCTTTTGCTTTTCATCTTTAAGTGTTTGTGTATTGGAGGGGGGGGGGGGGGGGGTAAAGTATAGTGTCCATCAATGTTATATATTGTTTTTTGTTTATCAACTGCCAAACAATAGCTGCCTTCTGCATCAGTGGGTTAATAGGTGTACTTTTCATATATTTAATGATATTCAGGGCAAATATTAACCTTGCCTTTCAATAGCCATATTACTTGTATAGTGATGCATCGATATATGCACAATATTGGATTTTTTGTTGTTGTATGTGCCAAACAGGTTGGCAGAATGTCATGTTTGGTATTTATGATACATTTTTATGTATATTTATTTAATTTAACAGAAACCTATCTATCACATACAGTCAACTCTCGGCTGCCTAAGTCGAATTTGCATAAGATGAATGCAGGCCTAAGTCGAAGGTGTTATGTTAGTCTTTTCTTTTTATTTTCCATTGTTTTGACCTTGCATTAGTCGGATCTGGACACTTTTAACGTAAAAAGAATATTTGTATACCACTGTTTTTAGAATTCTCACCCAAGATTCCAGCATTAGTACTAATTAGTACCAGCGGTGACTGATTTCATAACCCACTGATTGAGCCCATGATAATTATACAAATTTCATTTATCTATGCGCCCAATACTTTGTGGTCTAATAATTATTTTCCTGGCTGTATTACTGTAACTATTATTTGCCGAAGATAAACCGTTTCTTTTTTTATATGAACTATGTGCTACAATTCCCTTGCCTTTCAGTTTATTAGGATGCACTTTTTTTTTTCTACATTTGCCTTTTTTAATTTTTTTATACCGGTATGTATATTTTTTTAAATATATTTTTTATTTCTAGGATAAAACAATATCTCGACATCAGCCAAATTTTCAGGCATCTTCTTGTGTAGGGTCCATGCTTTTTCCACGATCAGCTGTACAAATTCATTGATGTATATACCATTAAATTCATGTTCCAGATCGTACACTGTAAATATTTTAATAATTTCTTTCAATTCTTGTTTTTTCTATAAATTCCACTAATCTGAAATGTGTGTGTATTGTCAGCTCTTTTTTAGGGTTGATGTGATTGTGAGAGGGTTATAGATGATGATATAGAGGGTGTATTGTGATGGTGACTGCAGTGTGCCACAACTGTTACAAGACATTTGAAAAATATGTACATATTTTGTTTAATTCTATTTTTCAGCTATTTCAAGCGGATCCCATAACATCTAAGCTGGATATATTTTTAAGATATTTTTTTTCTATTTCCCATATATTTTCTTCCTATTTTCTTGCTAATTTTTGGGGTAACAAAATAGTGAGAAAATATATTTTTCATATATTTTATACAGGTTTAGACTTTTATTTCGTATATTTTCTGTATATTTTACTATTTCTTCGCTATTTTTGAAGCGTTCCAAAACATATAGGCTAAAAATATATTTTGTTGCTATTTTTTTTCCTATTTTTAAATCTATTTCTGTACTATTTTCCAGCTATTTTTTAGAGAGAAGAAATAGTGAGAAAATATATTTTTCATATATTTTTTCTACAGTTTTCGACAAATTTATTTCATATATTTTCTGTATATTTTTCTATTTTTACGCTATTTTTAAAGCGTTCCAAAACTGTGTGCTAAAAATATATTTTTTTGCTATTTTTTCTTCTATTTTTAATCTATTTCTGGACTATTTTCCATCTATTTTGGGGGAGAAGAAATAGTGAGAAAATATATTTTCTTGGTCTATTTTTCATATATTTTTTATATAGTTTTAGACTATTTTATTTCGACTGGGGAATGGATGAGAGAGAGAGGACAGAAGATAAAAAGGGGGAAGAAAAAGAGGAAGGAAAAAAAGAAGGAAGAAGAGGCCAAGAAAGAAGAAGAGAAATGAGGAGAAAGGGACAAAGAGAGAAAATGAAATTGTGATAAAAGGGAGAAGTAGATAAAGGAGGAAAAATAGTAAGGATGAGAAAGTAATTAAAAGAAGAGTTGGGAAAAGAGAAGGAGAGTCTCCACCACAAACTGTTGGAAGCTACATGTATTTATTGCTTTGTTTTAGATCCAAGTACCGGTAATAAATTTTCTTAATTCTTGAGAACGCTAACAATTTATCATTCAATTAGAAGGATGCTATTATCCTGACTCCGGAGTTGAAGATGAGCATCACGGTTGGTCTCTTGTCAGCTCTCACCTTCCTTCATGCTTCCAAGATACTCCATCTAGACATCAAACCATCCAACGTTATGGTAAGAACAATTGAGGTATAGGTCTAGGGACAAGTTCATTGGCGAAAATTCATTGGGGGTGGATTTTAAAATTTATCAGTTGTTAAAGGTTTTGACAAAATTAATATAAGTGACTCTTATAGTAATGAAAATACATTGTACCTTTTAAAAACGCTATTACAATACTAAAATAGCTTAACCTTCTGAAATGAGTCTGTTTTTATGCCTGTTTTCGGGTTGTCTGTCCATCCATCCTGCTTTCTTGTTAATGCGATATCTCAATAACCACTTGAGATGTAAGGCTTAAACTTGATGATAATATGTATCTAGCATAGGAAGAAAATCTGATTTGATTTTGAGTCAATAAGTCAAAGGTCATATGTCGCAGTGGTAAAGTCCTGAAATTCTAGATATAGCCTTGTTAAAAACATCTTTGGATTTATTTTGTTACGTCGGTAGGTTGAACGTGCATCAAGGAGGGCATACCTCTGTGACCTTGGCCTTGCCCACATCAAGACCCGTAGTTCCATGTCTCTCTCAACATCAATGGGTGGACCACGTGGCACCATCACCCACATGCCCCCAGAGATGGTCCAAAGAGAAGGGAAGGCCTGGGCTGGTCCAGGAAACGACATCTGGTCGATTGCTTGCACCTTCCTGGAGTTGTTCGTGGAGCAACGCCTCTGGGAAGGTGCAGAATTCATGGCGTTGCTTAGAACGTTGCTGAAACCAGCTTCCGTGCCGCCGATTCTGAAGAAGGTTAAGACAGAGGTGCGTACCATACTCAAACCGTGCTTTGATAAGGAGCCCTTGAAAAGGCCCTCTGCAGAGGTACTCCTTGAGCAATTCCAGAAGCTCCAACAGTCCAGCCCATGATGTGTCAGGCATCCTTTTCACTTGCATGCTAATTAAGGTATCAGTTCCAGAAGCTCTAACAGTCCAGCTCATGATGTGTGAGGCATCCCTCTTCAATTGCAGGCTGGGTATTACTTGAACAGCTTCAGAAGCTTTAAAAGTCCAGCTTGTGATGTGGTAGGCACCCCTCCTCACATTCTTGCTAGAGACTCCAGAATATATTTTGCTGGTGAATTGAAATAATGAACAGGCACTGGTGAAATAATGTTAAAATCTGTGCAATATTGTATTTCTCCTATGAGCATTGATGCACCATTTCAAATTCAGATTCATGTACCTAAGGGGTCTAATAATTGAGCTTGAAATATGTTACAGTGACTCGGTAACATTGTTGAAGGTTGATGAAAAAACTATTTTTTGTGTATGAAATGTTACATTATCTTCCTTTTACTGTACTAACCGTCTAACATGCAAAAAGATCTTCTAATTCTCTAACCACAAATATATATGGTTTTCTTTGAAGGCATCCGTGTGCAACACCCTCTAACAGTAAATTCTAATTCTCCCAACCATTTTTGAATTTTCTCAACCGTTTTGCCATGAAAATAAGACATGGAACAGGCAAAACTTTCAACACTTAAATGTCTGGAATGGTATATAGAGCCAATTCATTGCTTTGTGGTGATTTAAATTCACCTTAAACGTAATTAAATTGTAATAATGTATTTGGGAGAATTAAGGAATTGATCAGATCAGTTTTTCCCAATTTGTATCATTAATAATGGTTTGTTTCCACTCAAACTTTCAGATTATCTTTATTTGTACATCTAGCATTAAAGTCACTACCTTAGCACCATTTCTCTCATCTATATGTTACCAAGTCCCTTTAAGTTTGAACTGGCAATGCCATACAGAAATATTGAGGAAAACAGTAATGTCATTTCCTATTCTCTATCCCCCCTTTCCCATGTAACATCCTGAAAAAATATAGTAGGATTGGAACTAAATTTAAATAATAAGAAGAAAAAAATTTGCTAAGCTTAGGATTTTTACACATCGTCAAATTTGATATTTTCTATTGACAGCATACTGATAAGCCTAATCAACATAGTGCATATAATTACCAGCTACTGAAACTAATGATATGGTCCTACCTGATTTCGATAAAATTATGAGTTTCAACAACTATGTATTTTACTTGCCGGACACATCGATCTTTTCGTGCCAACACATTTCGCAGAGCTACCTAAATATGCTTCCTGTCGACAGAATCTTGTTTGAAGTTGTTCACATGTGTATCTGACCATGGCCTATTGTAATAAAACTGATATATGAGAAGAAGATTGATATTTGTGACAATAAAGCTATCATGATATCTGGAATACTTAAAGACTTATTTTACTCATAGTATTTACTCTAACCTTTGTTATATTTTTGATTAATAAAATCCTGTTCAGAGATTGGTCAACATAGCATCATGTGACCAAACATAACATTGCTATGATGTTACCGATAAGAAAAATGTGCTATACTGTGACGTCATCCATGGTATAGTGCACTATACTATATGGCACTATACCATGGATGATGTTATAGATATGTGATTGATCAAGATCAATGTGATATCAGTGTCGGCCCGGTCGCAGTACCTCAGAAAATAGTGCTCTTCCTCTCACCTCGATCCAGATTGACAGGTATTAAATTTTGTTCTTTGATGTTTGATTACATTATTTGTTCATACATAAAGTTGAATTGATAGTCTATTTGATAGACTAATTCTGTTTCTCATTTTGTTAGAATTGAAGAATATGATTTAGAAATGGTGTATAGTGTATGCATATATCATTCTCCTCAAGTGAACTACATGTATGTGTATGTTTGTTTTTACTTTGCTTCTTATTCAAATGAATAATTGAATAGAGGTTTCTAGTTTAACAGACTTGCAATCTGTAGTGAAAACCTATGTTTTTGTTTGTTTGCTCTATAGAATTTTGATACAAATGTTCTTATATGTGCTGCAGCTATTATGTAAATGTAACTGTTGAAAAAAACCTATGGAATATATTAAAGTAACATTTGCCCTTCTTCATTTTGGAAGTCTGTATAAGAAATAGGAATTGTTTTTACCTTATGTTTTATTTGAGGACATAACTTTAGTGGTCAAATTGAACCTTTCATTTATGCATCCCAAGTTTCATGATGATGAATGTAATTCCCATCTAGAATGTCTGGATATTGATGATATATATTAGTCTTGATTTTAATCATGCATCAAATCAAGGAGGATATTACAGCTGGTATCTCTTTGATCAAATATGTCTCATATTTGGTGTACAGCTGTATATTTTACCTTTTGTAATACACAAGTTGATGTCATTAATTAATCATAATGCCTTTCCTCAAAATAAATATATTTCACATGAACTGAACAGAAAAATTTGTGTGAATTGTGAATAGTCTGTAATAGATATGGAAAGAGATTGAGAGAAATTGAGAGAGAGAGAGAGAGAGAGAGAGAGAGAGAGAGAGAGAGCATATGCCAAATGGGGCACATAAAGATGAAGGAGAGAGGGATCGAGGGATCGAGAGAGAGAGAGAGAGAGAGAGAGAGAGAGAGGGGTAGGAGAGAGAGAGAGAGAGAGAGAGAGAGAGAGAGCATGCCAAATGGGGCACATAAAGATGAAGGAGAGAGGGATCGATGGATCGAGAGAGAGAGAGAGAGAGAGAGAGAGAGAGAGGGGCACAGGGAGGCAAAACGGAGGGGAGAGAGAGAGAGAGAGAGAGAGATGTACGGGATAAAGGCCCACATATTGATTATTAATAATGAAACAAAGACAAAATTGTCAGGAGATTAGAGTATATAAGCTACTTGATTTTGTTGAGATAAATAGCCAACTTATAATGATGTCAATATATTACTTAAGATTGAAAGAAGAAGAATAAATTGGTGATATGATAATGTGCCACCCTATATAAATAAATAAATCATTGATCATAGAAGCATTGTGTCAACAGAGACCAAAACAAGCTGCAGAAATAGCGCATGCGCGTTTGTAGATGGTGAGGTAATGCAACTTGCGAAAGGGAATTTCCCGACGGGAATACCCACAACCGGCCAGCTCGCTCTATCCGTACTACGGGAGAGACAAGGCAAGGCAAAGGAGACCGTGAATGTATTTATACTACGTCATCATCACAGCAGTAAACATTGTCGCAAACCCTACTTCGAGGTTTTTCCTGCTGATCTGCAGATCAAGTAAGTTCCTAGTTTGGTTTCTTTTCTCATGCATGCAATGTTTTCTTAATTTTTATCTCGATAAACTCGTATCGACTTTTCTCACAAACGTGAAACACGAGAGTCAATGTGTACGTAGCCAGGAATAGCTGTCTGGTATGGGGAAAAGACGGTCAGTGGTGCCACGCGTGTAGTCTCATTGGAACAACAGTTGATATTATACGAGACAGATTTCGGTCTAGGCTATCAGCCAGGATACTGGACATGGTGTATGCGATATGGCTTTCAAACTTGGAACAGCATCATGATCTTAGCTTTGTAGCTTAGACCCTATATACATCTTTTATTTGGAAGCAATCCGATGTAGGTCAACAGACCCCAATATTCATTAAATTACTAGACTGATCATTATAACACCATGAGCACCATTGAGAATATGTTAAATTTGCATTTGATTGAGGACAGGCATAGATTAAATTAGACTTGAAAAAGATTTAGACTAGTAATACAGTATCTAGTTCACCCATGGGCGTAAATCCCTGGGGGGGGGGGGGGATGCATCCCCCCTGACTTGAAGGTGGGGGGGGGGATGGCCTGTACAAATATCCCCCCCTAAGATTACCAAAAAAAAAGAGGAAAAAAAAGGAAGAAGAGGAATAAGAGAAAAAAAGTGATTGTTTCTATTTCAGCATAATGCACATGAGAAATGAGTTATTTCTTTATTGTAGAGGTGTCGTGGTCGAGTGGATATGTCACCGAAATGTGGATCGCAAGGTCCGCGGTTCAAGTCCCACCGCGGCATCTAATGTCCTTTGGCAAGACATTGATCTACATTTGCCACTCTTCACCCAGGTGTTAAAATGGGTACCCGGTAGGATGAGAAAGATAATGTGGTTTGATTAGCAATGGCGCTTGTAAAATGGCGACTGGCTGAAATGCTCCCCAGGGAATGGAAAATGTGCAAACATTGTGTTGCGGGTAAGCCTGAATCCGATGATCGGGGTAATAATATGTTACGCGCCTAGAAACAAAGTATTAGGCGCATTATAAATGTGAGCTATTATTATTATGTATGTATGTATGTATAGCCTACATGTATACAGTATATCACGATCAGAGTAGTTGCGCGACGTGCGCGAACAAGCACTTCATAAACTTCAGAATAATATTTCGTTATTTTGCAAGGTATTATTATAGCCCAGATGTAAAGTGCGCCGGCGCGCACGAGCGCTTAAAAAGTGCTATCATGTACAGTAGATGCATCCCCCCCTGACTTGAAGGTGGGGGGGGGGTGGCCTGTACAAATATCCCCCCCTAAGATTACCAAAAAAAAGAGAGAAAAAAAAAGGAAGAAGAAGAATAAGAAAAAAAAGTGATTGTTTCAATTTCAGCATAATGCATGAGAAATGAGTTATTTTTTTTATGTATGTATAGCCTACACGTATACAGTATGTCACGATCAGAGTAGTTGCACGACGTGCGCGAACATTTATTTATTTAGGGTACGCGTATGCTCGTTCCATCCCTTTGAAAGCACCCCCCCCCCCCCCCCTCCATCTCAGGACTGCCAACATTTCTGAATCCCCCTTTCGCTGGCTTTTTGGTGGCTTTTCCTGCCTTGGAGACCCCCCCCCCCCCCAAAATCCGGAACACTGCTAAATGTACCACCCCCTCCCCAATTTCAGGTGAGCTCTAGTCGATCGAGGGGAACTGGGGCCAATGTTTTCACTTTTCAAAATGAAATAATCCTGAAGGAGCTTTCAAAGCTAGCAGGAATTTCAGGAATTTGATCCCGGGATTTGATCAATTTTTCTATGATATTCAACATATTTTATAACCCCCTTTTTACATTTCTCAGGAGTCCAAAGAGAGAGAGAAAAAAACCCACCCCCTTTTTAAAGAAATCTCCGGGTGAAAAGTCAAATACACCCCCTTTTTTTACAATTCTCGGGCCGGATTTTGTCGCGCGACAAAGTACCCCTTTCCTGGAGATCTTAGGAACGCACATGCGGTCCCTCCGACCCCAGAGTGTAGGGGGGGGGGGGGCCGCATGCGCATTCCTGAATCAAATGTCTAAGCTTTTCACGCTTCGCGCGGGAAGGGGGAAACTGAATTCAGACGAGAATTAAGAGTCGAGAACAGTACACCCAATCGTCTGCTTTCTCTAATAATTTAAGGAAACGTCAAGGCTTCCGCACTTTTCGCGAGAGGGGTAAACCGAATTCAGACAAAGATTGAGAGTCTAGCACGGTTTAACAAATCGTCTACTTTCTCTAATAATTTAATGAAATGTCAAAGCTTCCGCGCTTCGCGCGAAAGAGAGAGGGAGAAACTGAATTCATACAAGGATTAAGAGTCGAGCGCGGTTCAACGAATTGTCTACTTTCTCTTATAATTTAATGAAACGCCAAAACTTCCGCGCGGGAGGGGGGGAACTGAATTCAGACAAGGATTAACAGTTGAGAACGGTATAGCAAATCGTCTTCATTTTATAACAATTTAATGAAACACCAAAACACCAAAAGCTTTAATGAATGGTAAATCATGTGCTGAAAACACCCTCTCTCATCTTCCAGTCAAGACTAGCAGTACCCCAGTAGAGCTGGTCAAAGATTAATACTCACAACCTATAAACCTAGTAATAAATTGGAATGATTTTTGTAGACATTTGTCCAAACATATATGTAAGAGGAACATGTACGCATGCAAAGAATGTGGATATTGCAGGAAAACACAACCCTGCATGATCACACATATCTGCCTTTCACTGTATGCTTACATTACTACCGGTATCACTTTCCTGTCTCCTCAAGCAAAGAGCTATCTTGTGTACATGCATGTACCTTTATCATAGTCAAGTTGGGCATTGGACAATAATTGATGGCTATTGTACAGTTCAGAAATCACATTGCAAAGCATATTTTTGTTATAATCCCCACTATACAGTACACCTGCAACCAGGCATGTATTTTGTATGTTTATTGAAATTCCACTTTGGTATAGAGGAACATAAATATGAAGTAAGGGAACCGAGTCGACCTGGCCTGATTATGTGTCATAAAAGTTTTTTACAGTAGTATTTCCAAATCTAGTCAAACTTGTTAACATTAACAGGTTCTTTTACTGGGATAGGAGGGGGGGGGGGGGGATAGTGTTTGAAGCTTTATCCCCGCTAAAATATAGCCTTGATTTTTCATGCAATATAATAATAATAATAATAACAATATTTATAAAGAGACATTTATATTCTTGTTCATTTAGCAATCATTTTTTTTTGGAATTCATGAGGAAAGAAACATTGATGTATTATACGTGTCTGTGACAAGGAAGTAATCAAAGAAAGAGTTAGGTTTACATAGTTATACATGTATGTTTGCTGAATGTAATGAAACAAAATTGTAAAATATGAATCTATTTTGCTGCAGATAGTCCATTGCATTTATTTTCTTCTTCTAAACAGCTACTTTGGCACCATGTTTGTTTACCTAAATCTGCAGCCATAAAGCAAAACAAGCTTTTGTGAATTTGAAAAACATTTGTGTATTGAAGGCAACTGTATTATTACATCGCACCTTGGACCTAGCTGTCACGTTCTACATGAGTGGGAGAGAAAGATAGATCTACAGTTATGAACTGACTATTCATACCCTTTGTAAATGTGGTGTTTTGGGGTTTCTTTTGTAGCTGAAGTATGAAAGGTGGATTGGTTGAGCTAGGGCCTATGTTGAAAACTTTTTAACATAAGCTTTTAAGTTACATTCTCAAGAAACATAAACCAGGACAAATCAAGTTTTCACATATTTAAGAACTTACAAAACCGGTTAAGAGCATGAATAATTTAATTGTTAACTGTAGATAGATATATATATATATATATATATAAAGAGAGAGAGAGAGAGGGAGAGAGAGAGAGAGAGAGAGGAGAGAGAGAGAGAGAGAGAGAGGGAGAGAGAGAGAGAGAGAGGGGGGAGAGAGAGAGAGAGAGGGGGAGGGGAGGAGAGAGAGGGAGGGAGAGAGAGTGAGAGGGGATATGGGATCAAGGTATAGAGTGTGTGTGTGTGTGTGTGTGTGTATTTGGTTTTTACAGAGGTGCATCAATCAGATATGATTATTTACGTCTGGGGACCGACCTTTAAACGTCACCATACGAAAGACGTGACTTGGTTTCGAACCTGCGTGCTGAATCAGTTTGTAACTTACACTGTTAGCTGGATTACAGGTGCACGCCACACCGCCTAGTTATGTTCTGGCAGCTTTGGTTGCCAGCTGCTTGCGGGGAGAGAGATTTTGCTTTTATGGGGGGATCCAGGAAGAGAGAAAAAAAGAAAAAAAGAAAATAGAGAAACAGAGAGAAAGAGATAGAGAGTGAGAAAAGAGAAAGGAGAAGGTGAAGATGGTGGTGAATTCAAATGCAGTTATATAGGTACATTATATACTCTTAGCATGTTATATTTTTATATTAAAACAGGCCCCCCCCCAAAAAAAAAAAAATTGAATCAGATCGGATCATCTAAATCAGAATGGCAATCGTGGAGGTTGGACAGCGAGTTGTCCGGAGCGCCACCTGGACATGGCGAGATCAAGATGGTGGTGAGGGTCATCTTGGTACAGTGGTCAAGCTCAAAGATCATGACCCTCAGGAACCCATTCCTCCAGGCTGGGCCAAGATCAGATGGGATAATGGTAATGGTAACAACTATCAGGTCGGGTCCAGTGGCTCATATGATCTTGTGCTCTTCGACAACGCCCCCGCAGGTAATTATTCCCTTACTGATTCTTGTAACAATTTTTCTTTTAGTCTATATTAAAATAAAAAATAAAACTAGTACTTAAATCAACAGATGTTTTATGAAATGGTCAATAACTATATTGTTTATCTATTTTACAGTGACAAAAACTTTCTAAGTTCAAGTATATTATCCTAATGGGGGGGGGGGTACTTTTGAATTCATACTGACAGCTACACCAATACTACTATACAATTTCCTAATTTTTCATCTTCCTCAATTCTTTTTCCAGGTGTGATTCATGTTGGTATAGTTTGTGATAGCTGTTTGATGAGTCCTATAGCTGGCATACGCTGGAAATGCAATGATCAAAGCTGCCCTGATTATGACCTTTGTACTCCATGCTACATGAATGATAAACATGACTTGACTCATACATTCACTCGCCATACCAGCAGGAAAGAAACAGGGTATGTGAACAAAAAGTATTTTTTTTACTGAGTTTTTTCCTTATATTTGCAATATATTTTGTGAATATGAATGTATCCTTTGTATGAAAGTGGGATAGAGAGCTGAAAAACTTAATATTGTTCAGGATGTACTCAAGAAGCAAGGCAATGAAGACGTTCCCCCATCCAAAATGAAAGATAGATAGACAGGCCCCCTCCCACCCCAGGGGGGGGGGCATGAGATGATATCCAGCCTATTTGGGTGATATTGTCATAATTCATGGGAAGATTGTGATGTCAAAGTATCTATTTTTCTAAGCCTTACTTTAAAGGAACTTTTTAGTCATACAGAGAAAAACACTTATAACAATACCCTTACTAGCCTTGTTTTACCCCTTGCAGGAAAATTTTTGACTCATGAAGTTTGAGTTTGAATTGTCTCAAAATGTATTTACGTGTTTTGATGTATTTAATTGAGTTATCTCCACACAATCTGATTGTTCTAATAGCTTCATACATGTCTCTTAAACATAAAGAAAAAGAGATTTGTTTGTTTCTTCAGGACACAAGTGACACCTCGATTTGGGGAAACGAAGACAGTTTCCAGAGGGCTGTGTCCAGGGGCAGAGGTCTGTAGAGGGAAGAATTGGCAAGGAGATGATGAAGATGGTATGAAATATGTATTTTTCACTTCTTCCTTTTATTTTCCTTTCATTACAATTTTGCCTATTTGCCAGTCCGTTGCCTCCATGAGAGTTTTTGTGTGGTTTATAAAACTTGTAGATTTCTACTCTGACCTATTACAGAACGCAGTACGGCGAATTCATGCAACCTGCTATTTTAATGTAAAATTATGATGTCTTTATTATTCAACTAAATTTGTGGTAGCCACTGTGAGCGTTTGAACAAAAGGAAAATATAGAGTATACATATCCCCACAGACATGCCCCTGATCATAATATATAAGAAGGTATGGCTTACATTCCGTCAGAAAGTTGGCTCGTTCCTGTAGTATCATGTTATGTCTGGTAATATTGAGTAATTTATTTATAATAATTGATTTTGTTTTGCTTTTGCAAATATTTTGTCTAAAAAATGGAGTGATTGAATATTCTTTTGATGATTCAGGTGCCGGTGGGACTGTTGTTGAGATATGTCCCTTCTCTGAAAGGCCACGGTCAGGCGTCGCAGTTAGCTGGACTCAGTCTAAAGTGGTCACTACTCATAGAGTTGGATTTGATGGGAAAATGGATCTGAAATGCACCACAGCAGGAACTGGGATAGGTTACTATGCTACACATCTCCCTGTTTTAGGTAATGTATCAATCAGTTTGTTCTTTTCTTACACAATAATAACTATTCTCTATTTTTTTCTTCTCCATTCACTTTTCTCTTTTTAATTTTGGATTACACACATATATTTTCTGCTCTACCTGTTGTCTACTGTCCAAAATGTGAGTTTTTCATTTAACAATTGCTTATTACACAACATTTACTATTTTTTCAAAACCATAATGACCCAAATATAACAGCCATCCACTTATTTTGACAAATTTAGTTTCTGACACTGACTATGGGCTGTCTGAAATTAGCCATGTTTGACTACTTAATCATGATTGGTTATGATTTTGGTGTCATACGAGAGAAGACAAATTGAGCTTTCCAAATCATATATGCATCAAACAAGAAGTTGTTTATCGAGTTGTTTACGGGTACACTTGGATTTACTTTTTTTCAAGGACACCCTGTGTTTAATACATATGATTACTTTCTTTCTTTTGGGAAAAAAATACTTGCATTTGCAAAACTTATCACTGTGGTTTATTAGATTGTTTGCAAACTTAATGACTCAATCCAGTGTCAGGATATCTTTAAAAAATATCTGAGAAGGTTCTTCCCCTAGGCTTATTGATTATCATGCATGAAACAACATACATGTATGTTATTCTTTATATATATATCTGATTCTTAATGGTATTTCAGTTTGCAACATTACTATGCCTGTTTACTATAAACTCTATTCCTGAATAGGCTTAAATTTGATTTGATTTGATTTATTTATTTCTGTTTGATTTTTTGTTGTTGCATTTTTAGAAATATATATCAAACAACACATCGCAAATTTACACATGACAAAAGAATATATGTAGAACAAAGTAAGGCTGGCTGTAATTAATCGAAAACATCAAACAGGAGGGTTGACAAAGTAAGCAAAGCGTGATAGCATGAATACCCTCAATGGATACATAATCATACAAATATGGAGGAAAAATGGGAGAAATACAAAAAAGAACATAAAAAGAAAGAGGGGGTGTACATCAAGATTCACAGATGTATGTGGTAGTTGGATTTCAATTTGATATATGAAGATAAAAAAAGAAGATGCAAATTTTAATATTGGGTGGCCAACTTGGGATATATTATAGAATGATTTGTATACCCTTGAGTACTAGTGGACAGCATCTCAATTATTGTGATTAGTTACTTTATCTTCATCTGTAGGCCTGAGTTTTACATCTTGTATGAATAAGTATTGTATGATGTTATCATTACCATATTGTGTTTGTATTTTGAATTGAATTTCGATTTTTGTATTTATTATGATGTAATTAACTTTATTTGATTAATTGATAAAACAGACAATATCAAACTTGAGTTGCATGCCATTTTCTTTTGACAAAGCCATTCAATTTATTTCTAATATTCAAGCTCTTAATTTCATTGATGTGGTTGTTTTGATAACAGGTAAAGAGGTTGGTTTGAAAGTTGGAGATCTGGTAGCTATTACTCTGGAAAGTGAAACATTGCAGATTATGCAACAGATGGATGGGCGCGAGTGGTTACCAGAAATGGGAAATGTGAGTAACGTAATACAAATACAAATGATTAGATAAACAAACAAACAAACAAGAAATGTATGCAAAGAAAGATAAGTTACCAAATAAATATGTAAATGCATTACCCCCAAAATAACAAGTAAATTCAAGTAAAGGAATGTTAACAAATACAAACAAATAACAACAACCAAATAAATGGATGCGAAGAAAAGTACGGTAAAAGCAAATAAGCAAACAAATGTTTATCAACTTATAAAAAAAAACTATCTATTTTCAGCAGAACACATTATTTGTGTCACAGAGGAGCTTTGAATAACATTAGTAAAGTCAGCTATACAGCCTGTATGTGGCACAAAAGATAATACACAAAAACAAACACCAATTGCTTTATTAAGTACACATGTAAAGTACCCTCCAAAATATCTAAATACATATTGATCTTGATATTGAACTTGATCTTCTTTTCACACTCTTTTCCCTTCCAGCTGTATGGGAAGGTTGCCAAGGTTACTGGTATCAATTCAAGCGGGAACGCAGAGGTCACTTACCCTGGGAGAAAAGATAAACCTTTTACCTTCCATCCAGATGTACTGAACAAGGTATGGTGTTAAGTTCTACATCACTTGCTCTTGCGATAATTGTTCTGCTGTAATTTCTTACAGTAACTGAATTCCTTACTTCAACCTTGGACCAAACACTATTACTAACCCTAACCCTAAAATTAACTCTATACTTTTGACAAAATAAAGCCCTACACAATAGTTGATGTTCATGCTCTATACATATACTACAGTGTGAGTAAAAAAAAGTTTACACCTAGAAAATTGCTAATTATTAAAAAAAAATCATCAATGAACATTAAACTGTTATATGTCTTATTAAAGAGTGTTTTATCCCAAATCATTTGGTACCATTTTTGTGTGGTATGTGTTTACGCTTGAATGAACAGGAGACTTGTTTGCGAGAGTGCAAAAATCGAATTGCCCCAAAGTTGCCTATTTGATGTTTGAATAAAACAATTGGGATTTGGGTATTAATTCGGTCTTTGCAGATCCAAATAACACCCCTAACAAAATTAATCATGCCACACATATCAAATATCAACGAACATTTGTGCGCGTGTGTGTGGGCCAGTGTGACTTTGCCCTTTGCAAAAAACATATGCAATGTATTTCATTTGATACATTCAATCCATTCCCTTACTCCGCTAATCCCAACATAATACATACTGAAGGCATCACTTTGGCGCAAGTTGATTTTTGCACTCTCGCCAACAATGTCACCTGTTCATCCAAGCGTGAACACATACCACACGAAAATGGTACCAAATGATTTGGGATAAAACTCTCTTTCATAAGATGTATAAACATTTTCTGTTCATAGATTATTTTAAAAATAATTAGCAATTTTCTAGGTGTAAACTTTTTTTTGACTCACACGGTATATTTTTTTATGATTGTTCATATTGAACTTTAATTTCTTTTCTTTCCTACATGTAATTTCACATCTGCTGGAGATTTTATTTGTATCAAGTTTTAATGTTTACTCAATGTAACTGGAGCCAAGTATCTTTCTCTCTGTCTACTGTTTACCCCTCCCTCTGCCTCTATTGCCCTCTCTTTGCTTTCTCTTTCTCTCTTATGCACATACTCAAACACACACTCAAACACCACTCTCTCTCTCCCACACCCTCTCTCTCTGACACCCTCTCTCACATATTCTTTCTTTCTCTTATGCTTACACACACTCTCCCACACCCTCTTTCTCTCTTTCATTCACACACACACAAACACACCCACCAACGGACACAAATGCTCTCCCACACCCTCTCTCTTCTCTCTCTCTCTTATGCACACACTCAAAAACACACTCTCTCTCTCACACCCTCTCTCGCACATTCTCTCTTTCACTTACGCATACACACACTCTCCCACACCCTCTCTCTTTTATTCACACACACACATACACACAGCCACCCACGCACAAAAAAGCTCTCCCACACCCTCTCTCTTCTCTCTCTCTCTCTCTCTTATGCACACACTCAAACACACACACACACCCACGCACACAAACGCTCTCCCACACCCTCTCTCTTCTCTCTCTCTCTCTTATGCACACACCCAAACACACACTCTCTCTCCCACACCCTCTCTCACACAATCTCTTTTTCTCTTAATGCATACACACACTCTGCGACACCCTCTCTCTCTTGTATTAACACACACCCACCCACGCACACGTACGCTCTCCCACACCCTCTCTCTTACACAATCTCTCTCTCTGTGTCTGTTATGCACTCACACACACACACACATGCTCTACCACATCCCACACCCTCTTTCTTACACAATCTCTCTTTCTCTTCCTCCCTTCTTTTATTCCTTCCCCTCATTGTATCTATTTATCTCCATCTCCATCTTTTCACATTATCTTCTCTCTCTATTATTATCATCTTAAACTCTTTCTCCATTAACAAAACTAATAAAATCTATTTTCCAGGTTCCAAGGCTAGGTAAGGGAGACCGTGTGCAGATCAATAAAGACTTAACGTTTGTGAAGAATCTTCAAGAAAACAGTCAAAATGGATGGATTGATGGCATGGAAAAGGTCAGTCAAAACAAACTTTTAAATAACATGGAGTTCTATATTACTTTTGAACAATTTGTGTCCTTATAGAGTACCATGTCTGGTACCAGTAATTTATTTATTTATTTATTTAAAATGGTTTATTTCAGTAAAAACAATTTGCGGCCCGACAGCCGAATTGCAGTTTCTTTTACAAAGTATACATCAGTGACAAAGTAAAATTACACGTAAAACATTATGCATGGTAGCATTATGGTAGTAAAAGTGCAATTCTTTTGTACATATAATATATAATTGAACTAAAGCCTAGAGCAATCGCCGCCAGAGCATGTGTCGGGTTGCCATCGTTGCACATTATGGCAAATTGCTTGGTAAATATACAGAAATCTGAATTGTATTACCATATTTGCTTGGTTTGTGCATCAACCAGATAAAAAAAAAATGTAAAACCTCCCCCATTTCGAAAATGTTACTTATGAAATAAATTACAAAAAACGAGAAATTAACGCACGGATTGATTTTACTGTTACAAAATACTTTAAAAATATTAATACATCTGATGATTTTACCAAGTATATTATTCCACTGAAGCTTTATAGGTTATAATACTGTAAATTATTATTGCATTCATAATTACATGATACTTGCAAACTCTGTCATGATCATGATTGTAATCAATCAAAGCTGATCATTCATTTTCAGCAAAAATAAAAATACTTACTTGACATTATATTCAACTTAAGTTCTTATCATGGGAAACATAAAGTCCACTAGCCTTTCGTGAGAAAGTATGGTTACAGGGAGCCACTGGTGATTATAACAAAGAAAGGTCTAACTACCATGTTTCTGAATGTCGATTCGTGGTCTTTCTAGGAAACTCTTGGGACCAAGTATTACCTTTTTATATTGAATCCTATATCACTAGGAATCAAGAACAATAGAATACATAATAATAATATCAGAATAACAACATTTATAATGCGCACATATCCACCTCAAGAGATGCTTAAGGCGCCTAACAAGGTAAGTACATTAAACTTAAGAGAACAAAAATAATTTAACATAATTAAATATAATTCGACAACGTTAATTACATCAAATTGTGAAATACACTACGTCTCAACTAAGGAATTCAGACAATAGATAGGTTTTCAAAAAGAGTTGAACCAGTATAATACCTTCTTGGGATGAGAGTATGTTTAAAAGTGTTCTTTAACTCTTATCCTGCCACAGGGCTAATCCCCATTGTGCCAAGCCACAAATTCCCCCTAGATAATCGGATTAACGCGATGGTACTAACAATAGCGCGTGCAAAACACTAGGCACAGTCCAATGGGCATGAACAATAACTGCTATTACGAATGCGTGCAATCATGGAAGAAGCAGAGAAACAATAGCTTGCTCGCGTGTACAAAGAACAATAGCGTGCAGGCAGCCTTATGGCAGGCTATGAGTTAAGGTCTCAATATATCATGAACAAAAAATACTTCATGTCTATTTTCAGTGTCTAGGTATGGAAGGGACAGTGATGAACGTCGATTCACGGTACGACAGCCGGGTACGATTGATTGGTGTGGAGAAAATGTGGTCATGGCATCCCTGCTCCCTGATCCTTGTCAAGAAGAACTCATCAGATGATGACACGCAGGGTGCTGAATCTCTAGGCCTCAAGCTAGGTGAGTTGGAATATCAATGATTTAAGAAGACAAGAACAATTTGAAAGTTGGAAAGTATGCATTGGCATATTTAATAACCTTGCTGTTGATACCCTTGTCAGAGACAATTTGCCCTTGGCAATTTTCGCTGTAGTCTCCCATGTTTGATATTAATTAGCATGAGTTACAATAATTTGTGTAAACTTCTGAAACTATTCAGCTTGATTGGCTGTGTGTAAGCAAATTTGTCATTGAATGTTGACACCTGCTGCTGATACCATATTTTATGACAAAGGGTCCTGGATAATTACGGTCTATTGTGTGCTGTCATGGTCTACTTTAAATGTAAACAAATGGAATGGGAATGTGGATCACATGGCTAACGTTTCGTGTCCTGCCGCGACACTAATGTCCTTTGGCAAGATTAGATTTTAATCTACATTTGCCACATACGAATGTCAATGTGGTTGGATTGGCATGTGTGCGCTTGCAAAATGGTGCCTTGCCAAAATTCTCCCCAGGGAGCAGAGTGTGTCCATTGTGATGTGGGGGTAAGCAACTGAATCCAATGACTCTGGTGTATAATAGTTACAATGTAGAATGCGTAGGAACATAGTATTAGGTTCCATACAAATGTTATCATTGTTATTATTGTTATCTTCTATCACTGATCCAGATGGAAGTGGACAAGCTGAAATGCTCAAAGCCTTGCTATCACTACTCAAGACAAAAGCTGGCAGCTTATTAGATAGTGATTCAGACGAAGGAGGTGAAGAATCTCAACTGATCAAGGCCGCTAAGAGAGGCAATGTTGAACGTGTTGTGGAGATTCTATCCACATCGCCAGAAAAGGTAATCCCGTTTTACTTCAAATAATTAAAATACAAACACTCTTGAGACATTAAACTTTTGTGAGTATACTGTTGGAAGTTTCGTTGCAAGAAAGTTTCATGAAAGGTAAATGTTGTCTGTTTTTATGTAATTTTAATATTTCAAGGCATGAAACTTTTGTGAATCTTGCCCACTCACGAAATGCATGACAGTGTCATCCACTTGACAGTTTCGTAATTGCTTTCCAAAATGTCCTTTAATATGGAGTTGAACTTCTACATGTTCATTGCACAGTTCCCAGTAGAAGTTTTGGAACACAGTTCTAAGCTGCTTCATTGATATGGAATGTATCTTGTTGCTCATCGAATCCTTTAAAGGCAGGCATCGTGGTATATTGTTGAAGGCTCATGACTATCATACACATTTTAATAATCCTATTTTGATCCTTGCTCAATGCTTGAATCCTTGGACATGGTGTTTTCCCAAATTTGTCCCCTCAAGACAAGTGAATTAAATGCGTAATGCTTGGGTAATGATGATTGCGGGGCCACTGGGAAGAGCCATATTAATATTGATGAGGCTACCGTACTAGGTAAATAACTCTGTACTATCATGCTTATGATATTACAGGCAAATGCAAAAATTGGTGGGAAGACTGCTCTACACATGGCAGCTGCCTATGGTCATCTTGAAGTAATCCAGGCACTTCTGGAGTCAGGGGCTGAGATAGATATCACCACTGATGATAGTGGGAGCACACCACTTCATTTCTCTGTCGAAGGGTAAGTCACGTGACAGGTAGTGATCTGATATTTGCTCCAGCAACCATCGCTATGGTGACAAATGCTCTGACAATTTCTTGTTGAAAGTAAAGTTATATGGCTTGCCAAAAAAAAAAAAATGTTTTGTTTACATGTAGATAAAAGGAAAATGTGGGTAACTGTTAATGGTCCTGTGCAAATTCAACAAGACTGTACTTTTTAGACACAGAAATGTGAGACGTATTACAATTCTCATCATCGTAACAAAAACGTTGCAGTGCTGCCAAGTCATATCTGCACGAGACATTAGGGTTACGGTTGTGTTTGGGTTTTAGGTAAGGCTTAGCTTATTAAGTGTTTGTTTCAGGGTTAGTTCAGTTAGTATAGGAAGTTACTGCAGAGAGATTGGAGCATGTGTTTTACAAATTTGACAGATACATGTATGATGTGATATACAATATAATAATAATAATAATAATAATAGTGGGTTCTTGTATAGTGCTCATGTCTGTCAAACTTGACACTCCTGGCGCTCCCGATTATTACCCTGGCTTTAGCACGGCTGCCATTATGGTGCTCTAGCATTTCAAGGAATTAATTCCTGCCAGGTACCATATGCAGCCAAAATAAATTTAAAAGCACATTTCAATATTTTTTAGTATATGTGGAATGTCTAGTAAATGGTGTACAAAGTAGGCAAATGTGTGTTTTACTCTTAAACCTACTACAGGGATGAACCCGCTATCACAAAGTATTTGATTGGTAAAGGAGCAGATATAAACAGAGGTAATGATAACGGACGAAGAGCGATTCATCAAGCAGCTCACAAAGGGTTTGTTGACTGTGCAAGGGTCTTGATTAATCTTGGATGTGATGTTAATGTACAGGTATGTATGAACTTGGCCATTATTATCATAGGTGTGAGAGTGATCTAATAAAGAAGGCTGCAGCCCATGAGACCAACAGCTCACGAGACTCACAATGTCAAGTCTAGTGAACTTTCTAAAGAGATCCTTAAGGCCCTTGAGACTGACAGCCCACAACTTTTTTTGAGGGTCGACCAAATTGATATTGTTGGTCTTGTGGGCTGTCATTCTTGTTGGTCATTGATGCCATGGGCTGTCGGTCTCATGGCTATAGGTTTTATTTGGATGCCAAGATAAAGGTATTGTGTGGAATAATGAGAGGTATATTGTCCAAAGGGACTTTGTCAACTGGATGACCCCAAACATGCATGTACAAAATTCTCCATACAGAATATCAGCAATGTAAACATGATTCAAAATATTACAATAATAGGGTAATGCAAATTAAAGGTAAATTTATTTCAGAAATTAAAAATGAAGTATTTGGTTTTTCTGTTAAAATAAGCGAATTGGCTCAAGAGTGGGGAATATCAGAATTAGGAAATAGAGCTAAAAACTGTTCATGCAGGTGAAATAAAATTTGGATGCATACAAAGATAAGCACAGTAAACGATAAAAGATTACAGCTAATGAAAAGATTGGTTAAATGTTAAAAGGTTTAACAAAAGTTGATGTTCCAAAATTCAAAGTAATTGGCAAAATTAAATAATTGAGGAAGGGAGGGGGTAAATTGTATGGGAGTAGTCATCCTGATCATGAAATAATTTGCAGTTATGAAACGGGGCCACACCGGATAGGGGGGCTGGTGGTCGCCTAGCTACCTCCTCACCTTGGCTCGCTCCAAGAATATGACGACGGTGAATGAAGATTCAGACAAGAGTTTATACGGTTGAGAAGACTTTATAACTTGAAATCAAAAGCACACTTCAAAATAAATTAAATACACAACAAAAACGTATCACTAGGCTGGGCGACTGTCACTTTTGAGCTCTAGCAACACATGACATGAAATAAAAAAATGGCAGCAACGAAACCTGTCAAATTAAGAACTGCTAAAAAAGAACTGCCCACCACTAGCTACAAGGCCCTATCATTTTTAAACCTTCCAAAGAAACCAACATGGACAAAAGCCCCAACTCTAAAATGAAAGGCCTATCACCATGACGCAATGCGTCAGACTCATCCCTTCAGTATATTAACCCGTGTAAAAATAAGACTCAATTAATTTCCCAATTATATCTCCAAACTCGAGTTCTCAGGCCCACCACATTTCTTCTACACTTTAAGACGCACAGACTCTTAATTCTGCTCTCTATCACCATTATCTCTCTGCTTATTTATTGCCTCCAACTCCCCCCTCGCAACCCAAACTCCTCTCTCGCATAACTCACACTCTCACATGATCTAGCTCTTTCAAAAATCGAAGAACGTTGGTGAACCGGAAAATATCAAGACTGGAATTAATTGGGAAGAGAACAAACATTCATTGCAGCTGAAATGTCTATTATTTCCAGCAAAACAACTATTATCATTTAGAATGTTACAAACTGACTCAGAAGAACTGGCAACTGAAAATAACTTGCTACGAAATGTGAATAGTGCAAAAAGGCAAACAAACTTTTTATCAAAACAAAAACAAATCACAAATTTTGACCCCGCTTCAGTTAGTATATCTCTTTTAGAGTTTAACTAGCATGTCATTGAATTCACTCACTTTGGCGATAACTGAAAGTTTTTATACTCCTTATACTATTGCAGATGTTAGGAATCATGCCTATCGTACAAGGCAATCAATTATGAACATAGAAGAATTGAAATTATGACATTAATGCTACATAACTTCCATTAATTTGATAAAAGGATACAGAGGAAGATACTCCCCTCCATGACGCTATAATCAAGAGCAGGATAGATGTCATCGAACTATTGGTGAAAGTTCCAAACCTTGATGTGACTCTGGCTAACAAGAGAGAGTTGACACCTCTACAGTTGGCAGCTGGCCTTGACAAACCAGAGTAAGTACCCCCCCCCCTCCCGTCGGATCACTTCATATAAATTTGGAGCATCAATTCCATTGTGTCACTCAATTAGCAAAGGCAGGCATAATTACATCTTCTTGATTGAGCCAGGGTTGTGATGCGGTCAAGAGTAAGATTTTGATTTGTCCTGAGCTTGCTAAGCTCTGGGGACATTTGTCCTTGTCTTTACTTTGTCAATGAGATCAGTTTATGATTCTATTTTAGGTTACGTTTAGGGTCAAGATGAAGTATAATATTAAGGTCTTTCAGGTCCGAAGGTATTGTAACGAAATCGTTATTTACTTTACCTAGCCTTTAGAGGGCGTTAGTTATTGTAATTGTTTATTGTTATTGTAGATGTCGCTATGGTTACGTCGCGCACTGCGATGCGCGTACGTGGGGTTAATCTTGTGGGGAGTTGGTGTTGAGCTGCCGTAGAAGGAAGTTGTGCCTTAATTTGTTTGGAAGTTCAGATTATTAAAGTTCTTGGAAACATTACTTGATCTGTAAGTGCATATTATTTCCTGTGTTGGTAACTTAATTTAGTTAAGTGATTGTAAGCTGATCTGAGAGTGTCTGTTGCACAATATATTTTTGTGAGAACGTCGAGTACAGAGAAAGAGCGGGTTCTGACTGAAGAAGTGACGCTACCCAGAGAGTGAGAGACCCGTTTTCGTTACATTGGTGGCTAGCGGTGGGTTTAAAACAGACACGAGACACGGTACTCGATCAGCATACGGCAGAGCTGATTATCAAAAATAAGGTTAATCGAGCATTAGCTCGACACGGCAACTCCTCACCGGCTTCAACACGGTGGTCTATAGCACCTCACCGCTACAACACGGCGGTCCATAGCGCCTCACCGCTTCAACACAGCGTTCCATAGCACCTCACCGCTACAACACGGCAGTCTATAGCACCTCACTGCTTCAACACAGTTGTCTATAGCACCTCACCGCTTCAACACAGCGCTCTATAGCACCTCACCGCTACAACACGGCGGTCTATAGCACCTCACCGCTACAACACGGCAGTCTATAGCACCTCACCGCTACAACACAGCGTTCTATAGCACCTCACTGCTTCAACACAGTGGTCTATAGCGCCTCACCGCTACAACACAGCGCTCTATAGCACCTCACTGCTACGACATAGGGCTGATAGCGCCTCATCGCTTCAACACATCACTCTGTGGCGCCTCCACACAACAACGACGTAGAAAGCATCAGTGTTTGGAAGAAACATTGTGGTATGGCTTCTCAGAGACTGACTATAGAGGACGAGGTAGAAGTCCTTGCAGCAGAAGTGCAGCGAGGCGACGAAGATCTACGTCGGTCCAAGACAGAGATTCAGTCATTATTAGAACAGAATGAGCTTCTCAGACTGCAGGTAAGAAGGCTGCATATCGATCAGTCTCCTGTAAGTTTCCCTAACCAGTCCCAGAGTGGAACGCCACCCACTGCTGGTAGACGGGAACATGAGTCAACGGAGACTCATGCGACCACAATGAATGATAACTTGCTGGTCAATCCCAAGGGACCTGAATCACCAATGCATGGATGCCTAGAGGATCAAACGCAAGTGAAGGTGGCACACGAGCAGACTGCAGCTGCTGAGGCGAAGGGACTTCATGCTGCACAGTGGTCTCCAAGTAAAACATCAACAGCCGTTCGTCGGGCAGATGGGCTACGAACAGGCTTCTTACATAGGCAAGATTTGGATGCTTCAGATGTTCTTGCATCAATTCCTCACTACCAGCGACACAGGAGCGAAGTTCCAGGGGTACGGTCACCTGTTACACTGTCTAAGCCAAATGTATCGCCCGACAAATTCGATGGGAGGACACCTTGGAGGGATTACCTCAGCCATTTTGAAGCCTGCAAGGTCGCCAATAACTGGGGTGATGACCAGGCAAAGGTTTTCCTAGCAGCAAGTCTGAGGGGATCAGCACTGAAGATCTTGGGCAGCAAGGCAGCTGACACTTCTCGGATCGCATACCAAGACCTGGTAGTTCTTCTAGAGAAGAGATTTGGCCCAGGCCAGTTGGCAGAGAACTTCCTCCTTGAACTGCGTTACAGACGCCAAGGGCCCAGAGAGACCCTCCAGGAACTGGGTCAGGCCATACGGGAGTTATCCATGTTGGCATACCCGGAACTTACTGAAGAAGCCCAGGATCGGTTGGCAAGGACACACTTTGCAGAGGCGATTGAGGACCAATCCATCAGGGAAGGGGTCTTTCGATCTAAGCCAACAACTATGGATGAAGCCATCCAGGCGGCCTTGGCAACTGATAATTTTTTCAGACTCGAGGAACAACGGTCTGGCAGGAGGCAGAAGCAGGCAAGGGCCGTTGACACTGATTCAGCAGCTACGATCAATGAAATCTGGAGAGAGCTGAAGAGAATAGATGAGAGAATCGCCAAACAGGAACGACCCATCAAGTCAGAAGAATTCAGACGGGAGAGACCCAACTCGTACAGGCGGAGAACACCAACAGCCACAGATGAATGCTACAAGTGTCATGAGAAGGGGCATTTTAGGCGTAACTGCCCTCACGCAAGAGAATACAGGAGGCCTTCGGGAAACGGGGCTCAGCCAACCCAGAGGCCCGAGGGGAGGCTGGACGGACACCAGGGCATGTAACTGACACACCTCCATCTCCTCGAGAATATCCTTCAAGGAATTACATATCTGATAAAGCACGACGTGGTCTTTTTGCTGAAGTGGAGATAAGGGGAATCAAAGCAAGGTTGTTGGTAGATTCAGGTGCCACCGATACCATTTTATCTTCATCCGTGTACTATCGGATACATTCAACTAATAGGCCAGACTTGACAGAAGTGGGAGTTCGCAATGCAGATGGCAGTAGCATGGAAACGCTAGGTAGTGCATGGTTAGAGCTTGGTGTAGGAACATGCATCTTTCCACTAGAAGTAGTCTTCGGCAATACCGACCAGGTAGATGGGCTACTTGGGCTGGACTTCATGGAACCAAATGGGTGTATTATCGATCTGAAGACAAAGGAACTGCGGCTCAAGGGAGAGAGAATCAAATGTACGGATGCACGAGGAGTTTCATTTAGCTCCAGAGTATTGATAGGGGCAACTACAAGGGTGCCACCAGGTCATGAGGTTATTGTTCCAGGCTACACGACAGGGCTGCAAGATGGGACAGGTCTAGGTCTCATTGAACCTGCGGAGAGTAGCGAGCTCCTGAACAAAGGCATCATCGTTGCACGGGTAGTTGTAGAAAGGACGGAAACAACCCTCCCTGTTCGAGTCTTCAACCCAGGAAAGAAGGCATGCGTAATTCGCAGAGGTACACTTGCCGGCCATCTAACACCCATCAGCGGGGAGGACATTGAAGAAATTCCAGGAACTCAAGAAGCGGCTGTACCAATCGCCTATCTTAGCATACCCAGACCCAGAACAGGATTATATCCTGGATACGGATGCTAGTAATGAGGGGATAGGGGCTGTCCTATCTCAAGTGGTAGATGGAAAGGAACGAGTCATATCATATGCTAGCAGAGCTCTGAACAAAGCAGAGAAGAACTATTGCGTTACCAGAAAGGAGTTGCTCGCCGTCGTAGAATTTTTGAAGAAATTCCGACAGTACTTGTATGGGCAGAAGACTACGGTCAGGACGGACCATGGAGCATTGCGATGGCTTCTGAATTTCAAAGATCCGCAAGGGCAGATGGCCCGCTGGCTTCAAGTGATAGCTGAGTATGATATCGAAATCATACACCGAGCTGGTCGCTCGCATGCCAATGCAGATAGTTTGTCAAGACGGCCTTGTCCCCAGTGTAAACGGGATGTTGAGGAGTCTGCAGGCTTCGAAGTCCAAGCAGGACCTGGAAATGGCCGTGCAGAGGTAAATGCAGTTACCCTAGCACCAAGTATCACCAATGCACACCTGAACCAAGAACAAACTGAAGATTCATCAATCAAGTGGATCTTGAACGGCAAACAACAATCAAAAGACAGGCCTGAATGGTCTTCAATGGCATCAAAGTCTAGTGTCGAAAAGTCTTACTGGAGAATGTGGGATCAACTAGCTGTCAAGCAAGGAGTTCTTCACCGAAAGTGGGAATGTGATCAAGGTCAGAAGATCACTTGGCATGTTGTCCTCCCAACCAAACTTCGGTCAGAAGTCGTGAAAGAGTTGCATGGTGGGAAGTCCAGCGGACATCTAGGGATGAACAAAACCATAGCCAAAGTTCGCATGAGATTCTACTGGTACGGAATGGATGCAGACATACGGTCCGTAGTTCGACAATGCAACGTCTGTGCCTCCAAGAAGTCACCAGCTAAGAAACGGAGGGCCCCCTTGCAACAAGATACGGTAGGAATGCCGATGGAGCGTGTCGCCATGGACGTAGTTGGACCGCTACCCGAGACGGAGAGAGGGAACAAGTACATTCTGGTTGTAGGGGACTATTTTAGCAAGTGGATGGAGGCCTACCCAATACCAGATCAAACCGCTGTAACGGTTGCAGACAAGTTTGTAAACGAGTTTGTTTGTAGGTTTGGTGTTCCTGAAGTATTGCATTCGGATCAGGGCCGGAATTTCGAGTCTCGCGTCTTTAAGGAAATGTGCGGCATCCTTGGCATTCACAAGACACGCACCACCCCATACAACCCAAAGTCCGATGGACTCGTTGAACGGTTTAATGGCACTCTGCTCAACATGATCTCAATGATGATTGAACCCCATAAGCGACAACGAGATTGGGACGAGAAGTTGGCGATCGCAGTGTTTGCCTACCGTAGTGCTCCCCAAGACTCCACAAGGGAGACACCTAATATGCTGATGTTAGGGCGGGAAGTGCATTTGCCAATAGACCTGACCACAGAGGCTCTAGAGGACCCCGAGGAGCATGATATTGAGACAGACTACGCATACACCTTGAGGCAACGCATGCGGGAAGCTCACGAAAGGGCCCGTAAGAACTGCACTGAAAGTGCTAGGCGGCAGAAAAAGGATTATGACTCCAAGGCAGGGGGTAGTCCTTTGGCAGTGGGCGACTTTGTGTGGCTCTACAACAAGGCAAAGACCAAAGGCTTGTCCCCGAAGCTCCAGAGGAGGTGGGAGGGCCCTTACTTGTTAATTCGGCAATTGTCAGATGTTACTTGCCGAATACAGGCGAAGAGAAATGGAAAGATGAAGGTGGTCCATGTTGACAGGTTGAAGCCGTACAAGGGGGAACCTCTTCAATCCTGGTTAGAAGCAAGTGAAAACAGGGACGCTCACGGAAATGAGCAGGAGGCTCCTAGCCAACTGACACAGCATATGGACATCGAGGACTTGAACAGGGAAGTTTCCCAGCCTGTCACACCCCCTGTTCCGGCACCACGAAAAGTTCCGGTCCCACCCCCTAGAAGAAATCCGTCAAGGAAAAGAAACGAGCCTATCCGCTACAGTTATTAATTAGATAGTTAACCCATTGCAACTATATTATCTGTGATGAATGATAATCCAGATGATCTCGATTTTGTGTTAACCTGATGTCCTCTGTGTCGATTCTCTTACAGTAAGCCAGTATGCGACATTCCAGGGGGAACGTGAAGTGCTATTCTTGCGGTCATTACTTCTCCCACAAGAGAAGTTTGGAGAGACACATTCAAGAGAGACATCGAAGAAGGGAGGAACACAAATGCAGAGGGTGCGACAAGTCTTTTTTTAGGAAGGACAACCTGACGAGGCACGTACAGAGTCGACACGAGGGGAAGACAACAGAAGACAAGCGGCAAGACGCGCCTGTGGTAACCCCTGTAGCAGCAGGTGAGCTGAGTATTCATGCTTCGAAGGAAACACTCTCTTCAGAGAACGGGAATGCATCGAGGCCGACCGGTAAAGATCTCAGCATGCTGTAAAAGGAGAGGGAAAGTGAGACCTCGTCGGTATCGTCAGAATCAGAAGCTGAGGTGGAGGACTGCCCAACCCCAACGTTTCGGAAGATCCAGATGGGAAGGCCAATGCAGGGGTTGGATCTACGACGCACTGTTCCGGGCACCCCTCTGCAGGTAGAAGAGAGGTCTTCCTCAACACAGTTCTCGGGGGGCAAGAAGCTCTTTCAGGAGGAAAAGGTACGAGAGTACAGCGTTGTTTTCCTGCATGGGTGTGAGAAGGAAAGTTCGCCGGCGCCTACAAAGTTGCATCACCTCGCATCGGATCAGTCGCTAGGTTCTCCGATGTCCGTACAGGAGCTGGAAAGGGCCCTGGTCGGCCGGGTTAACAGCATTACTGAAGTCACCACAAGACGATCTTTTTGTGACGGGATTCTGGTAGTGGAGGAAGAGATCAGGACCAATTACAGTATTAACTTGAAGGCTGGAGCAATCTTACCAGAAGTTTAACTCATACATGTATATCAATTCAGCTATCATTAATATTGCAATTACTTGGAAACCTGTTTTCTTGTATGTATTTTATGCTGCAATTGAAGTTCATGGCGGAACTCATTTATATTCCTCTTATAGTGATTAAATTTTCCTTACATGTAATTATTGCTATACGTGAAAGTATTCCAGCGGATTTTTCGGCCTTTAATTGCAAAAATGTATTTATAGATGTTGTTCGCAGGACAGAATGATTAATTGAAAAAAAAATGTATAAAAGTTTTATCTATGTAATTTTGCCTCATTCTTGCCAAAAGCATGTATTAAGACGATTTTGTGTTTTTGGTCAGAGGACTGCCCAGACTTGGGGCGGGGTAGTGTAACGAAATCGTTATTTACTTTACCTAGCCTTTAGAGGGCGTTAGTTATTGTAATTGTTTATTGTTATTGTAGATGTCGCTATGGTTACGTCGCGCACTGCGATGCGCGTACGTGGGGTTAATCTTGTGGGGAGTTGGTGTTGAGCTGCCGTAGAAGGAAGTTGTGCCTTAATTTGTTTGGAAGTTCAGATTATTAAAGTTCTTGGAAACATTACTTGATCTGTAAGTGCATATTATTTCCTGTGTTGGTAACTTAATTTAGTTAAGTGATTGTAAGCTGATCTGAGAGTGTCTGTTGCACAATATATTTTTGTGAGAACGTCGAGTACAGAGAAAGAGCGGGTTCTGACTGAAGAAGTGACGCTACCCAGAGAGTGAGAGACCCGTTTTCGTTACAGTATTATCATAAATTGACTGCTGAATAATTTTGGCCAAAGCATCTGTCGTACAATGGGCATTGTATACTTTTTCTGAAAGGAGGCAAAACCATTTGACAAGTTATCTTGATGTAAATGCAAGGGGCCTGGGGAAGGTTGTGGTCACTCATGTTTATGCATAACAAGGATTATTAGGAGAGGGATTACAACCATTAACTTGAATTCATAATTATGAACATTTCCTGTCTGATCTTAAATATTTTCATTTTCTTTTATTATTCATTTTAGAGCTGCTGAGTTAATTGCACAGAGTTGCCCTCAATCTATTGTTGTTGCAAGGGACGACGGTCACACCATATTGCATATCTGTGCAGTCAATAACCATGTAGAAGTCATGAAGGTTATTATGTCTGTAAAGGTAATTTACTAAGACTCTCAAGTACCCTAGGCTAGCAAAATGTTGAACTTAACACTTCTGTTGCCTTCTCTGTACCCTCTCTACATGGTCACTACTTTGTCATACATGCAATGTTGCACAAAACAGAAGGCAAAAATTGACTGAAGGATTGCCTTGTGCAACAAAATGGCTTAATTTACAAAGTTACCAATTTAATTCCGGTCTTGATTATAGCTCCATGACAACTCACAGTATAGATTAAATTTGCACTGGAAACAGTTACAAGTAATGTGATGCCTTTGCTATAAAGTTACGTTTTTCAACAATTATGCATTTGGATTTAAGGTATGACTTTACATAGTTTTATTTCGTAGTAAGCTACCAGATAAGTATGAAACATGAAAGCAAATTTTAATGTCTAAGAAAAAACATTTCCCCCTCTCTATGCAGCTTATTCTAATTTTCCATGTTTATGTACTTCTAATTTTAAAATGTAGTGGATTTGATTAGATATATGACAGGTGGATATCTGTATGGTATGGTGAATGTGTAGATACATGTAAATGAAAGTCCATTTTATTTGTCTAGTACAAGCTCGTGTAGGCTATCAATATAAGAGACACTTATATTATGCAATGTAAATCTCTTGTTTTAACCTGATGACTAAAATTGTCTAATTCCCATATAGGCCTAATACAGGGGCCTCACAGTTTCTGTAGGAAATGGGTGAAGCATGTCGAACAGTCTTCTATATCTCAGTTAACGCAGATATTACATGAAATCCAATTAAGCTAAATCAAGCTCTTATTTAGATATGGATGAAATTGAATTATCTATTACAATAACCAAATAATGAAAGTTATTTATTTTGTGCTCATGGAAGGATCATGGATTAGATGTAAATGCTAAGAACGTGAAAGCAGATACTGCACTACACCTGGCTGCTTATAAAGGACAATCCCACAGCATAGAGTTTCTGGTGTCACAGGGTGCTGATATCAATCTCCAAGGTGAAGATGATCATACTGCCCTGCACCTCCTTGCCAACACTGCAGCGAAAGATCCAAGTGATATCAAAGACACTCCTACACTGAGGAAGGTATGTCCACGTGTGTGTGCGCCAAGTGATAAGAGTAGGAGTGTCTCATAGACATAATAGAAGCCCATGGTGTTCAACAATAGATATACATTTGGTACAGAGATTAAATTCCCTAAAAGTAACATTATTGAGCCGCTTATTTTATGTCACTTCCATGACCTTGTTTGTTTTGAATTCCCTAATGGAGAGATATACAAGGATGAATGACATTCATTTGATATCCAGACAAAAATATTTTGAGACACATCACTTTAATTGCTAGGGTTAACTCCCTACTGCTATCACCATTTGTATGAAGGAGTATGTATCATCAGTCATTTGTATTACTAGGATTAATATCCCACCGCTGCCACCATTAAATGAAGGAGTTCAAAGCAACATTCAGTTTGACTACTATGGTTCATATACATTCACCGATAGCAACTGACTCCATTTCGTAGTTATTAAATAAAAGATCATGCGATTATAGTTTGATTCCATGATTTTGATGGTCATTAATTTGGAGGAATCTCGATAAACATCTTTTCTGAAGCTACTTGTTAGCCTACCTTCCCCCAAATTATAACCAGTGGTTCTAGATTTTCAGATTTTCAGGTATCCTAACTTGGTATTCTAATTAAAAATATTTAATCACTCCACATTTGTGCAAAGATTAATTGTCTTGATGCTCTTTATTTTCTCCCAGATTCGCAAGCGCTTTAGAGGGTGTGGAGTTGATAACAGTGCTGCCGCTGCACTTTGCTACATGGTTCTTAAAGGAGCGCTCATAGACCTAGAGAATGTCCAATGTCGAACACCGCTATATTACATCAGGAATGCTGAGCTGAAGAAGACTGTGAAGAAGATTGCTCGTGAAAAGATGTAAGTAAATTTCCTTACCACTTTGGTTGCCTTATTTGCCTGTCTGCACAGTCGCTTGGTTGCCATACATGCAATTTTGCACAAAACAATAGGCAACAATTGGCAGAATGATTGCCTTGTGCAGCGCACTAGCTTTGCAAAATAACCCATATGTAGTCTTAAATAGCTCCAAGACAACCCTTGTATCACATTACACATAGAATTAAAGAAGATGTCAAAAATCATATGAAATCAAAACAATGTAATTTTAATTGTTCTTATTTTTGTTTTATACCAAGCATATATTCTGTCTACGTGATGCTCTTCATACCCCTCAAAAATGATGTTAATAAATATTTATTATTGTAATTCCTCTTAACTATTTTAAATTCTTTCTTGGCCAATTACATAATTTCTAGTCTCATCATATATTTTCTTTGTTCTATTAAATTTTTGAATCAATGGTTCTATTATCTGTTTAATGCCTTATTCACATCTCACCCTATACCCTTTTTTGGATCCTGTCTTCATTTCTTATCTAAAATAAATGATCTTACATAATAATCCTTTTTTGTCACCTTGCGTTTTTGACAATAGAACTTGTACCCTCGTCATTCGTGAAACTAGTGTACTTAAAATCATATTGTCTTCACTAATTCCTTCTTGTCCTCTGTCCTTCAACTTCTGTTTTCATTGAATAATCCTGACTTCAATTCTTATCTAAATAATCTTACATATGATAATTTCTAGTCACCTTGTATTTTTATTAAACAAAAGAATGTGTACCCTAGTTATTCTTGAATCTAGTGTACTTACGATTCTCTTCACTAATTGCTATGTCTTTATGTCTAGGATATTATGCATTTAATCAATACCTTTTTCAGATCTGATGATATGTCATCATGGGAGGACCTCGGGGAAGATGAGGATGTGAAGAAAGGACGCCTGAGCAGTAACTCCATTAGTGTTGATGAAGATGATATTATCGTAAAGCGAAACGATGGTTTGAGCGGTACTGATAAAGGCTCTCCAAGGCGGATAAGACAGGACTCAGCTGAGAATGAAAGTGAAGCTGAACGTTCTGCAGGAAACCAAAAGAAACCTGGCAAGCCAAAAATTGAAGGTAAAAATCTACATATGCACACTACACCATCTTACTACGAACCGATTTTGGAAGAACATGTGATAGCATTTTATTTGAACGTTTAAACATGTAAAAACTTAATGTCCAAGGAGCTGACTAGTCATTTGATTAATAGAATTTAAGTTTCAGGGGATTTCATGCTCCTTTTGAGGGGGAAAACTAAATCGGCTCAGAATCGTAGTAAGTCAGACCAGGAGTGCAGCAATTTGAAACCGATTCGACTTTTATACTGACTTCAAGAGATAAATACAATCAAATATAAATAAATAAATAAAAATAAATAACCAGACTATAGATGTCAAAGATTTGTGGTTCAAATCCAAACTCGGCACAAATCAACATTCTACACAGATGTAAATGGATATCTGATGAAATTAAGTACAGTTACTTAGATGGCTTTGCTACACCCAGGGTAATAATATCTGAGCACCATTATTAAAGCCATTATGATTATGCATTTAATTATGTACTATAATTATGCACTACTAAGTAGAGGTGTTCTGGTGTGGTGGGTAAGTCTCCAGATTATAGACCAGAAGGTTAGGGGTGTGAATCCCTGCTGCAGCATTGACATACATTGGCGAGGCATTAATCTACATTTGCCACACTTGATCCAGGTGTAAGAAACGGACATGTTTAAGGAATTATCCCTTGAATGGACGGGGAAATAATATCCAAAGTCCTTTGGAAGTGCATATAGACATTATTATAATGTGACATTTGCTGTACAACTAATGTTACTATTAGACCTAAAAACAGATCAGATTCTATATATTGATAGTGATTTATGCTTTATACATTAGATTGTGTATATGTACCGTATGATATCGATTTCTCTCATTTCAGTCTTCGATCTTGTGCACAAAATTGAAGTCTCTGACCTAGACATGGGTCCTGTGGTTGGGAAGGGGCAGTTTGGAGTGGTCCATCGAGCCTCATGGAGAGGGACTCCAGTGGCAGTCAAAAAGATCTCCATCATGGGTAGCAGAAAAGATGAAATTGAGAAGGAAGTCGCAATACACAGGTATCCAAATATATTACCATCACACATGTGTTGTTCGGATAGTCTCGAGTCTAATTCAAATTTCTAAGAAATTGATGGTCATGTACGTGGCACATCACCAACAAACTATAAAGGGAATCGTACAATCAAGTTCAAAAGGAAAATCTAGAGTGTTTTTTTTTCTGGTTTTTATGTGTCCGCAACAAAGTAGCAGGCGGCATTAATTATGTTGAGTTGTCAGTTCGTCCAAACGTCCCGTTCTTGTGATCGCGAACCAATTGATGGATTCCCACCAAATTTGGGTCGTATATGTATCTTGCAGAACTTATGAATTTATAAGATTTTGGGGTCACGAGGTCAAAGGTGGAAGCTAGGTCACAGGGCTAATTTTGTATGCAAATATAGCTTGTGATCGATGGATTACTATCAAACTCAGGACATGTATGTATCTTGCAGAGCTGATGAATTGATTAGATTTATGGGTCATGAGGCCAAGGATCAAAGGGTCATACATGTTTATGGAAAATAGCCTGTAAACACAATACCTGTTAACGGATTACAATCAAACTTAAAAATTGCTTCTGGTTTGGTTTGTAAAATTGCTCTATGGCAGAGGCATCATTTTCGAAAATCCATCTAGTTTGTAATTATTTAATCTAAACATTCGTGGTTTTATGTAATTTCTTACTCTCCCGTCAAGTATTTTAAGGGTATCTTGGAAGATCAGAAAGTCATTGTGGTTGGTCAGCATTACACATGTCTGCTATGCCTTCCTGGAATCGCAGAATGTACATCCATTATTCGGAAGCAAGCTTCAATTCGCTGACCGTGATAGAGACATGTCTGCAAAGTGGGACACAACCATTGATGTATTAAGCTATACATTAATCCAGAATATTATTATTGAAATATCATGCCTAACCTGGTAGGGTAGCGAGTATGTATACTCAGGACTTAGCTTTGTTGACCGGAGATATTTGGGATGAGAAATGGTCATCAAACTTTCTTTCTCCTCCATACTCTTCTCTCCATTAAGACGGGCATGTCATCCTAACATTGTTCAGATGATGGCTCTAGGATACCAGGGAAGAGAGGCTTTCCTGGTAATGCAGTTCATTGAAGGGCCAAGTTTACACACCATTATCTTTCCTGATAGGGATGACGTTAAGGTAATTGAATCAAGGGCTTCTAGGAAAACGTGGAGCTATAGGGAGGGGGGTGTTAAAGTAAGAAGCGGGGGTAATGGGCTAGTGGCTGGAAAATTCATCACATTTTAAAATGAATAACGGTACCAAACTACGTCCTGATTAAATGGATAAGTTTGAGCATCATTATTATTGCCAAAGTTAGAGAATGCCCAAGTGCAGTCTTGGTCATTCCAAGCAAGATACGGAGGAGGAGAGGGGGAGGATGTGGGGCTGGGAGCAGGGAAGACAACCATTAAAGTGGGTGATTGGTAGACTGGTTACCATTTAGTTCCCTGATTGTAAGTGCAAGTTCGGCCTCATTCACATATGGTGGGATAATTCTCAAAATAAAACTGCATCAATGAAATGTCCCAGTACCCTTTAAATTTTCAACTCAAAGGAAAATTCATAGGGGCCACAGCTGCACTCATCCTTTTCCACTAAAAATACCATTTATTTTCCTGAAATATTTGTTCCCTTACTGCGGTGATATTGTTAAGGTAGTTTACAACGTTATATGTGAGAATAGAGCTTTAGAAAACAATAATTTTCCCAGACATAGACATGTCAAGATCATATCAAAATCTTTAAAGTTCCTCACCGAGTTTGTCATATACAAATCATTCTGTACATTGTTCAAGTAGCCTTTTTCTTATTGCTTATTAATAATCAACTTGCAGGTTCCTCTAGACTGGGCCAAAAAGCTTCAGATATCTCGTGAGGTTCTCCAAGCCGTAACCTTCATGCATGCCTGTAACATCTTACATCTTGATATTAAGCCTGCCAATATTCTAGTAAGTACATGGATATAGCTAGCCATTTTAAAAGTAATTCAAGTTTATTGATGTATTCAATTCCATGGAAGGAGAATTAACCAATTGATGTGCTTCTCACACAACTGTACGTCTAATGCTTTTAAAGGGTGACTGTAAGGTCATGCTGAATGGGTCTACTAGGATTTCATGTATTTCTTGTGTGTCGATGCCGGGTAGGCTAAAACTGTGTAGAAAGAACATAGAAACATTCTGTCATATGTGTCTGTGATATTTTTATGAAAAGTTCAATGTTATCTAAGGGAATTCACCCATCATGACATATAGCGGTTTTTATTCTTTTAGGTGGAATCTGCAACACTTCGTCCCTACCTCTGTGACTTGGGCCTGGCCCACATCAAGAGCCGCAACCTTATGTCCCAATCCTCAGTCAATATGAGAGGCACACCGTGCTTCATGCCTCCAGAGGCACTTGGCGCAACGGAACCCGGTTACAGGCACTCCAACAAACATGACATCTGGTCGGTTGCAGGAACATTAGTGGAGCTGTACTCCATGAAGCGCCTGTGGGGAGACTCGATGAATCCTCTGGCCCTGATGGCTCGTATTTTTACAGGCCAGATGGGTAATCCTGAGTCTTTGACAGCTGTAGATCCTAAGGTTCAGAAGATCCTTGAACCATGCTTCAAACAGAAGCCAGAAAAGAGGCCACCAGCTTCTGATCTCCTGGATCAGTTCAATGACCTCACTTAATGGTAGTGTACAGAGTTTATAAAATGCAAAAAGTAATCATTTTCTTTGTTTTGAAAATAACAATAATAAACATAATAATGTTATACATTTTCCTAGCACACATATCCACCAAACATGGTGCTCAAGGCGTTCCAATATTATCCTGGCTGTACAGAGTAGTTATAATACCAATTTCGGTACTCACATTATTCAATAAATTCCATATTACTGGTCTCTGTTGAATACCTGGGTGGAGAGTGAAAAATGTAGATTCATCTCTTGCCTAGTGCTGCCCTGGGATCAAACACACAACCATCGCATCTCCGGACAAATTTGACTGGAGAATCATAGATAAATTCATAAAGGAAAGCGCAGATCCTTAGACAACTTCACTCTTCAATGCCTGCTAGAAAAATGAAGCGTGAAAGAGATATTTTTGTACAAAGCAATGGCTACGATAGATGTTTTTGTGACAGCTGGTGGGATAATGAATATCTCAATGATTCATGTACAATTGTTTTGAAGTGTTTTGTATTCTGACGCGTCTCAAAGTGATTTGGAACTCCCATAGGAACAAAACAAGTATTCATCAGTTCGTAAATATAACCAGACTTTTTAATAAGAGGCTGGCCATCTGAGGAGGAAGAACATCATGATTTGTTGCAACACAGTGATCTGTCTGCTTGAATGATTTAGTCTAATTTAATGTAAATGCTATTTGTAAATAGGAACTGGTAGTCCAGGCATAATTTGATATGACCTCCCACTAATTGCAACAGAAAATGTTTTGACTGTTTTGTGCTCTTGGAGGTGTCCATTATAACATATCAAAAGTCTTAAGGAATCCTGGTGGGGGAAAGTGCCATGGCGGCCATTTTTTCAAAATGGCCGCCATGTATAACTACTGTTGTACAATTCTAGAGATTACTTTTTAACAGCACCTCATTTTACCATGCGAAAGGTGTCATATGAAAGACATTTTAATTCCCTACAAGGTGATACCTCATTCAATAGGTTTCGGGATGATTTACTTACCAATTTCGAGCCAAAAATGTGATTTTTTAACATTTTTTTCAAAAATATGAATTGCGCCAAAATACATATTTTTCCATATTTATTTGATTATTATGCTAACCGACTTGAAACTTGCTGAAAAACTGTTCAGCATCCTGGTTGATATCATATCCAAATTTCAAGTCTATTGCTTTATCAACTAAAAAGTTATAGCGCTCTAAAGTTGACACTTTGTTATGAGCCAAAATGGGAAATTTGGTTGCTAAGGGCTATCTTCTCCTTAGCAACGGTAATATATTGGCGTGAGAAATAGAATATATCACAAAAAATTGCTATCACCAGGCAGATGACTACTTTTATAGGAAGTATGATGTCAAATGATGCATTTTCATCCTATTTTAATGATAAATATCGCTTAGTTCCCGTTGCTATGGTAATAACATGCCTAGCAACCGATATAAAACACATATTATTGTTGTTAATCTAATATTTCCCATATCTCTGCTTCTAAATAACATAGAGTTTTGATTTTAAGTGCTAAACATGTATTTTCAGGAAGAAGGAATCAAATTAATTAAATTTTAATGAGCTAAACCTAGCCAAAAAGCCGAAACGGTAGCCATTTTTCAAAATGGCCGCCATAAACCTGATATTTCGCAATATCCCCGCTTCTAAATGACTTAGGGCTTTGATTTTCAGTGCCAAATATATATTTTCTGGGCCTAGGAATCCTTTGAAACACATTTCAATGAGCTAAATCTGACCAAAAAGCCGAAATGGCAGCTATTCTCCAAAATGACTGCCATAAACCTGATAATTCCCAATATTTCTGCTTCTAAAGGCTTAGAATTTTAGTGCAAAACATACATTTTCTGGGGCTAGGAATCCAATGACACACATTTCAATAAGCTAAACCTGACCCAAAAGCATTATTCTGTGGATGTGTCAACTGTATAACATGGCATGCCGTATGCCTGATGGACAACGTACATGTATAGGTCATAATTATTATAATACTGCATGTAGTTACCATAGCCTCAGACTACCATATTCGATCCATCAACTCGAAAAGTCTATTCATCATCATCACTGTCACATGCAACTTGGGTTGAGTTCGTGCATGCTGACCCTCTACAGTTGCCACATGCCGCTGAGCACTCTATGTTGTGCTTCTTGCAGGTGCACTTCAGACTGCTGCAGTCCGTCTGGCAGTTGCAGCGGATCATCTTGAGGAGCTCTTCCGGAGCTGGTGGCAAGTCCGTCTGCACGGGCACAAGTCCTCCACTGGTTTCCCGCCAACCCCAGTCATCTGGTCGTAGCTCATCAGCTGCAATGCCCTTCCACTGCCGGACCTGGTAGTAGACACGAAGGCTGTGTTGTTTTGCTGCTGCTGATGTGGGAGGTAGACTTTGGGGTTGCACATGAGAAATGCTAGAGGCGACCTTCTGGCAGAACCGCTTATGTCGCACCACGTTCAGTGTCTCTGCAGGCTTCCCATTGTACAGGCATGTCAGGGCTTTCTCTCCTGCTTTTACAACATCATCGGTGGACGCTGTCGGTCTGTCAAACACAATTGCTTGTTCACGGAAGTGCGCACTGGTTTTGAATTTGTTAAGGGAAGCTCCCTTGCCAATGCCATATACGCGGGAAGTAGTATCACATCCCAGGAGAGCGTGCATGAAGAAAATGTGCTGTGATACATCAGGACCTAACTGCTGTTTGACAGACTTCATGTTCCAGACACGCGGTTTCTTCACATTCTTCTTTGGCTCAGGTTGGAAGAACAGGTCACATGACTCGAGGTTGGTGTGGTAGATGAGCAGGATGAGTAGATCTGTGTCATCTCCAATCAGCACAGTATCAGTGGTGGCTGCAGACTCCACTGCCTTCTGCACTATGAGGAGATCAGCGTCACCTGCAGCATGATGTGTCTGGCAGTTCTTTTCCCGTAGTTTGGTGCTGAGCATGTTGATGAAGTGCTGCTTATTGGTCTTGTTTGCCAGGAATTGTTCCTTCTTCATTGTAGCCTGCATATCTTCATCAAACGTCACCGTTGCTCCAGCATTCCCTCTCGCACGTCTTTGGTGGGCTGCGCCCTTTGTTGATGTACCATCATATCCATCAAACACGACTGTTGCCTGTCCATACTTCTTTGTGACATACTCTGTGTATTGCGTGCAGATACCTTTGTATGTTGAGCCACGTGCCCATGGAATGCGCTGAACTAGTGCCCCACCATCCAACACGTAGTGTACTTGGCCTGTGATTCCTGGTGCATCCTTTGTCAGGAGTGTCCAGATAGCATCTGCTAGCACTGGCTTCTGTGGCTGTCGGAGCAGCAGTGTGGAATCAAACAGAGCTGGTGGGTAACTGCAAAGCTCATATTTGAACACAGACTCTAGAGCCTCTGTAGCTTTTGCAGCAATTGTCAGTCGCTGGAAAAGCAGCTGGGGATCCACTTGTACTACCTCACCATCAATCTTTACTGCCGATTTCGAAGCCAAGGTGATGGCCTGATCCTTCCTCTTGAATGTGTAGTCAACAGCAATTTGTCCATCCATGTTGGTCAGGATTGCTGTTCCAACAGTTTTTGCTGAGTCCACATTGACTTTGCTGGTTGCATGTACCCCTGTCGAAATGCTGCGCAAGCTCGGATCTGAGTTGAAGGGTGTTCTCTCTTTCAGACAGCTGATGACTGCATGTGTGTCTTTCATGTCACGTGCTTGTCTAGCAATTGTCATGTCCTTGTTTTGTTCACCAGTGTTATAGTTGACACCTGTGAGCTGTTGCATAGCATTGTTGACTTCAGAACAGGCAGGCATGGAGAGCAGCCATATGAGACGCTGTTGCTCTGTCATGCCTCGCCCTCTCGTCAGGCCACCGCTGGTCTTCATACTCCTCATAAGAACCTGTTCGATGGTGAGATCTACGGACAGACCAGCCCATAGGCGATCACTTCTTCTGACAACATGGAACCCTTCTTCGAATCGTTGGTACACATCTGGATGTTCATCCTTGAGCTTGCTCATTCGCTGCACATAGAGGCGGATTGATTTGGTGTAGAGGTTGTGCCCAGAGGCTGCCAGGTAGGGCAACATTTCTGACATAGCTTCAAGGTGCAACGCCCAGTTGCCAATGCGCTCTGCTCTAATAAACTTCCGTAGTATGTCAACCATGTCCATGTACTGTAGCCAAAGTGTGGCGGTTCTAGAGGACTTCAAAGATTCGGTCTTGGCCCAGAGGAGCTTCTTGATTCTTGTTAACACATCAGCTTGGCAGAACTCCTCTGCAGACACAGAACCTTCCATCAGATTCTTGTAGAGGGCAGCAAGTTCATCAAGATCAGTGTTTCCAGTTCCATTTGTCGTAGGCTCATCATCTGGTGACACTGTTTCCTCATTAGTCTCCTCCACTTCATGTGGATCTGCAGATGGTTGAGGGAGTGGCACACCAAGTGCTTCTGACAAAATCAAGGCGTTCAGTGCTGCATCAACAAGTAGATGTCCCCGTACTGCTCGTGCAATAGCCTTGCCTGACATCATGTGTACCACCGCGTTGTCTGCATAGATTAGCTCCAAGACTTCCTGCAGTCCTGATCCAGCCATGAGGTGACCGATGCTTCCCAAGAAACTCATTTCTGTGTGAAAGCCTCCAAGGCGCAAGACTATGTCATTCAAAACACTTCCTGTGGGCTCAGTCTCGATGATCATGAGGGCTTTCCACCATAGTGGTTGGTCAAAGGTGATGATGGGCGTAACACCATGGCGACGAGCATGCTCACATACAAACTTCAGTGTGGAATAGATGCAAGTGACATCACTGGGATTCATGTCGATCATGGGGAGAAACATCACCGATGATTTCCCGGGGTGGTCACCATGATGCACTAGCTGCATCAGTCCAGACCATGCCGGTCTTGGTGAGGTGAACATAACAGATGTCTTCCACAGGAGATCAAGGTCTGCTGTTGGGTCCTTTGCCTTCATGTTGACCACCTTCTGGTATGCCAGTGTTGTCATACCGCGGCTCCCTTCTTTGTGGTAATGGATAGGAATTCGTCCCATCGTGGAGATATCGCTGGAGGTGACCTGCGCCCTGAGGGTAGGTCTGCTGGTCTTGGTGGCTGGGGTTATGGCAGCAATCATCCCCATGCCATGGAATGTATTGTTACCATCCAGGGTACGGATGTTGTGATCTACGTTGTCTGCAGCATACTGGACAAACTCCGAACTGAAATCAGGTATGTCTGTTCCATGAGACATCACAGCATTCCGTTCAAAAGTTTGAACTTCCTGATAGGAGCAGCTGAAACCAAGCTTGTGGAGGGAATCAATTAAGAAGCGTGATGCAAAGTGATGGTGCATTTGGATCCCCAGTCCAATCTGCAGTGGAGCCAGGAGAACTTGAGGTCGGGCTGCTTGCATAACTGCCTGCCCAATTGAGGCCGTCTTCATGAGCACATTCTTGCCGACAAACAGTCCTCCCAGCAGTAACCTTAGGCTTTCTGGCAGGAAATTGATGTTTTCCTCCTCCGACAGCATGTCAGGGTACAGCTCATGTGATGTCATGACACTCTTTATGTCATCTCTGATCAGTTTAGCTGCAGTTTTGATTATTCTCATCTTCTCTTTTTCAGGATCAGCAGCCTGTGCATGGCCATAGAAATCCTGGAGAACCACCTTTGCTGTGCTCCGGAATGTAACCACATTTGGCTTC